TGAGGTCAGCCTAGACAGAGTTACCCAATAACCTGGGTATCATGATACATATCTGTAACTCTAGCCATGGGAAGCAGACACCGGAGCATCATGGTCTAAGGCCAACCTTGGCACAAAGCAAGACCCTCTCTGACAAACTAAAGCAAAAAGGACCCAGTGGCTCAGATTAAGTGGTTCAGTTGGTTGCCTAGCAAATACAAGGCCCTGAGTTCAAGTTCCAGTATCACAACAACAACAAAGAATAAAAACTTATAAACTCCCCCAAAGCAGCACCAGACAGAACCAAACTGGAAAGTTCCCAGGCTGCCAACGTGCAAGATGAGGCTACACCATCCCTGGACCTCAGTTTCCCCATCTGTGTGGTGGTACGGACCAGAGCTGTTTGTGGGCCTTGGCAGTGAGCATCTGAAAGAATACTGGCTTGGGTTCCTGGGTGGGTGAGGCCCTGGGCCTCCAGGAAGCCCTCCCTCTTCCCCCAGCTGTCACTCCTGGGGACAAGAGACCAGTTGGCATGTTTCAGAAAACGGGGCCTTTGGCTGGGCCTTGTGGTCATGGCGGACATTCCTTCACCACACACCAGCCAAGTCGTGGTTCCCATGGCAACTATAGTGCGACTGGCCTCTACCACAAAGCAGCTGTGACCTGCAAAATGGGGAAGGAGCCCCATCTTCCAGTGGCTTACAGGGGATCCCCTGGTGATGGTGGAAGGGGGGACATCCCCTAGAAGAGGGGACGCCTTCCCCTTTCCTACACGAGGCCCTGAAGCGGCTCCCCAGCCCCCTGTCACTCTGACGTTTTAACGCTGTGTCTGCACCCCCCCTCTTTCCAGTCAGGGACCCAGCTCAGATCAATTGTTGCTTAGGAACGGGGGTGGGTGGGCAAGCACCTATCAGGATCCAGTGTTCCCAGCCTTTTGGGGTGGCAGGGAGATTAAAAGGGTCTTGTCTCGGGTGTAACAAAGACCTTGGAGTAAAGGCTGCTTGTTGTGCTCTGGTTTGGTGGGTCCCTCTCTCCAAGCATTGAACCCCGCCAAGGTCAGTCCACTCTGCCTGCCCTCAGGAACAGGATGTCCACCCAACCTGGAGTCCTTTGGCTTTTTTTCTTTTTGGTCAGTTGTGCGGCTTGAACTCTGGGCCTGGGCGCTGACCCTGAGCTCTTCAGCTGAGGGTGAACACTCTACCACTTGAGCCACAGCACCACTTTCGGTTTTCTGGTAGATAATTGCAGATAAGAGTCTCACAGACTTTCCTGCCCTGCCTGGCTTTGAACCTTGATCCTCAGATCTCAGCCTCCTGATTAGGATAACAGGAGTGAGCCACTAGCGCCCAGTCTCCTTTGGCTTCTAGTCTACCAGGCTTCTCTGTTTTGCATGTGTGTAGTGAGACCTCAGTCTGAGCATTTTTCCCACTATCAACCTACTTTTCACTCATCTAAAGAGATTGCGCTGAATGTTTTGAACCTCTGCCCCCAGGAAGGAGTTCCAGAGAAGTGCCCTGGCCAGGGCCAATGGAAAAAAAAACAACCCTGTGGGCTTCCTGTCTGCTACCATATCCATCTACTCATGACCCTAGAGCATGAACGCAATAATCACTTGCTGATGAAATAATGCATAGGATAAATGCCCAGCCAGAGAGTAGCCCTGAGCACAGCCTTCACATGAGCGCCACAAGTGGAAAAGTGAACTAAGAAGGATTGTTAGTTGGGTGCTGGTGGCTCACACCTGTGATCTTAGCTACAGAAGAAGCTGAGATCAGGAGGATCATAATATGAGAGAGGAATTGTTCACTAGGTTCTAGATTCACACTAACCAGCCAAAAGCAGGGCTGGAGGCATGACTCAAATGGTGGAATGCCAGCCTAGCAAATTTGATGCTAGCCTAGCAAATTCTAATGCCACCCAAAAAAAGGGAATTTGGACTGTTGATCAAAATGTGTAAGAAGTGAGAGATTCCAGAGTTATCAAAGCTGTTCGCTCCTGTGGAAGGTTGAGTTAGTGTTCGTGGGCTTCACCCATAGCCCTTGGTGTAAGGAAACGCCCCCCTCGCAGACCAATCTCCACCCACGAAGGCAGCGCCTACGCAGTAGGTGAGGCGCCGCCCACTTCCGGCCCAGGGGAGACACCAGTTATTGTAAGCAGAGCTAACACTTGGCAAGGTGAATTTTCATACAATGGTCCTTTTCTCCTCAAAGTCCAGTGAGGCCTGGATTCAGATTTACTACCCTTTATTTGTTGGCTGAGATAAATCAGAACCTGAAGAATTCAGGTTCAGTGGCCATTCTCTGTATGCAGAAGGCATGATAAAGTTCTCGTTGGGTGAATATGAATTCACCTTATCCACTGCAAATTTGTGGTAATTACATCAGGCATGCCTGACTTTGAGAACTTCTATAGAAAAAGTGTCTAAAGAATATTAACAGCCAGGTGCCGGTGGCTCACACCTGTAAACCTAGCTACTCAGGAGGCTGACATCTGAAGATTGTGGTTCAAAGGCAGCCTGGGCAGGAAAGTCTATGAGACTCTTATCTCCAATAAACTACCAGAAAACGGGAAGTGGCGCTATGGCTTGAGTGGTAGAGTGCTAGCTTTGAGCTGAATTGCTGAGGCGCAGCGCCCAGGCCCAGAGTTCAAGCCCCACAACCGACAAAAAATAAAATAGTCCTGTTGCTTTGAGATGTATTTTGATAGTTTGCTGAACATACCGAATTATCATACAACCAACACCAAGAAAGGAGAGCTGCTCACTGTGGGGTAGCCCAGAATGCCAGGCTGGGTTTCTGTGTGCACACGCCTGAGTGTGGTTTGAACTCAGGGCCTCAAGTACTCAGACTTTTCACTCAAGGCTGGCACTCGACCACCTGAAACACACAGACTCTCCCAAGCTCTCCTGCCTAGGCTGGCTTTGAACACTTAATCTTCAGATCTCAGCCTCTGGAGTAGCAAGGTTCACAAGTGTGATCTCCTGGCATCACCCACAGGGATGGGTGAGGTCCAACTTCCTTCTCCCACTGATTGTGTGGCCCAGGGTCTCTATTCCTGCTGTGTTACCCCCCCCCCCACACACACACATACCCTCTTTGTGGAAAGATGGTGCTGTGCTGAATTCAGGCCCTAGGTGGCGCTGGACCCCCATTGCTCACCTCTTCCACCTCCTCCCTCTCCCCCCCCCCCCCCCCCCGGGCCCCATGGGGAACACTCAGAAGCTGGAAATGACTGTGGGCTGGAGTTTATCTCACATCTGTGTGAACCTCCACCCAGTTCCTCCACCCAGTTCTTCCTCTCTCTACTTATTTTTCTTGAAACTCATTTTTTAAATCTGACCTCATGAGAAGCCCCCATCTCTTTGCCACAGATAAATATACATGTTTTTAGGAACTATTGAGCCTGGTGCTTAGAAGCTAAGGCAAATAGAAATCAGAGTCGTTGGCGTACAGTGTGTGGTTCTGGGTGGTGGAGAGCTATCCTCGCTTTGGACGCTGGGTGATGGTCACACTGAGGCCCGCTTCATCCATTCCAGTGTCAGTCGGGCCCCTGCACCCAGGGCCCGCCCTCTTCTCTCCCCCATCATATGGAAACTGGGGCTCAGCTGTGCTGCTCACATGGTACCCCCTTCCCCACTAATGCCTGGAAAGCCTGTGGGCCCCTGAGCTCAGGGCGCTTTGCCTGGCATGAGGTGAGGAGGTTGATGAACAGCGACAGGAGCCGGATGAACTGGGGACCTCCCACCACTGACCAGGCTGCCCTGAGCCCCTGGCCGCATGTAGTCCAGAGCCTGGTTCTTCACAGGGCGCCTCCTAGAGGCAGGGCTGGTCCCTTCCTCCCACTGACCCTTCCAGGTCCCCAGGTTACTGAATGGTAAGACTTAAGATTAGTGTGATCTTAGCCGGGCGCTGGTGGCTCACACCTGTAATCCTAGCTACTCAGGAGGCTGAGATCTGAGGATCACGGTTCAAAGCCAGCCCAGGCAGGAGAGACCGTGAGACTCCTATCTCCAATAAACCACCAGAAAACCAGAAGTGGTGCTGTGGCTCAAGTGGTAGAGTGCTCACCTTGAGCTGAAGAGCTGAGGGACAGCGCCCAGGCCCAGAGTTCAAGCCCCACGACCGACAAAAAAAAAAAAGATTAGTGTGATCTCACATACTGCTTTTTATTTTGATCTGTCTGAACTACAGGCCTCAGTTCCTAGACATTCTTTCTACCACTTGAGCCACACCCGCAGTCCTTTCTGCCGCAGTCATCTTGCAGGTGTTTTTGCCTGGAGCCCACCTCAGACTGAGATCCTATAACTCACACCCTCAGGCAGAGCTGCGATCATAGGTGCACCCTACTGTATCCTGCTTGTTGGTGAAGATGCAGCCTTGGCAACTTTGTGCTTGGGCTGATCTCCAGCCATGATCCTCCTCAATCTCTGCCGCCTGAATAGCTAGGATTACAGGCGTGAGCAACCATGCTCTACCTTGACATGGTTGGTTTTCCTTATACCTAGAATCCTCTGTGTTCATTTGCTAAAATAATAATAATAATAATGTGTGTATTCGTTAAGGCAAGCTATGTTACTCCCTAAACTCTCAGGGCATTGACACCCTCAAAATTCCATTTCTCATTCACCTCAGGTCTTTTGGGAGGGGCGGGGGGTCAGTTGTGGGGCTTGAACTCTGGGACTCAGTGCTGTCCCTGAGCTCTTCAGCTCAAGGCGAGCATTCTACCACAACACCACTTCCAGGTTTCTGGTGGTTTATTGGAGGTAAGAGTCTCACAGACTTTCCTGCCCAGGCTGGCTTTGAACCTTGATCCTCAGATCTCAGCCTCCTGAGTAGCTAGGGTGACCGCTGTGATCCACCAGTGCCGGGCTCACCTCAGGTCTTGGTGGCAGTGGTTTGCTTGGAGCTGTGCCAGCCAGCATGACCATGGTGGCAGTCATGCCCCACCAGCCCTCAGGAGCCGTCGCCTGCTCCCTTGTGTTTGGGGTATACTAACCTGGGGCCTCTCTTGTCTCCCCACAGTATTGTACGTGGAAGGCTCTGTTCTTGTGTTTGAGGACATCTTCAGACTGATCGCGTTCTACTGTGTCAGTAGGTGAGTGGGTGGCTCCAGGAATGGCCGGGGACAGACGTCCATCAGTCTGTTGTTACGGACATCGCTGGTGGCTGTGGGGAGGCGGGTCAGAAACAGCAGCACAGAGATGCGGAGATGCAGCGATGCCTCTGGCTGCCATGTCCCTTGGCTTTGCTCTGGTAACCATAGGAGAGGTGTTGGCTCGCGGGGGGTAAGACCCCCACCCCCACCTGTCTCCCAACTTCCTGCATGACGCGTATCACAGACAGCTTTGGGGTCCTGTGTGACCCTGACCACGCCTATAGCAGGGATTCCAGAAGGAATTTCCAGCAGGGGCAGCAAGAGAGGCTTCTGGGGCTCCGTGGGTGGGAGCCCCCACGATGGCTCAGTGGCTTCTGGGTGGAGCAGGCATCTGCAACCAGCCTCTGCCCTGGTCCATTCATTCAGAACTGGTTTCAGATCAACAAGAATTTAAAAATATATTTTGGTGCTATAAGCCAGTGGCTTAAGTTGGAGGTGTTTAGCCAGTATGGGTAAGGTGTCCTGGTGGGCGGGCATGGCAGAGCTAATTACCATAGCCCATGCCTTAGCAGCCCCAGCCCTGCTCTGCACCAAGGGTGTGTGTGTGTCTGTGTGTGTGTCTGTGTGTGTGTGCGTGCTGGTCCTGAGACTTGAACTCAGGGTGTATGTAGGTTCTGTCCCTGAGCCTCTTTTTGCTCAAGGCTAGCACTCGACCACTTGAGCACTGTTCTACTGCCCACTTTTTTGGTAGTTTAGTGGGGATAAGAGTCTCATAGACTTTCCTGTTAGGGCTGGCTTTGAACTACAATCCTCTTTCAGCCTCCTAGGCAGCTAGGATTGCAGGCATGAGCCACCAGTGTCCAGCATGCAGAATTTTGCACCCATACAGGTCTTTCCAACAACTCCATGAGGTACCCTGTAGTGATCCTGGCTCCTTATTGCACAGATGAGGAAGCCAAGACAGAGCAGTCACACAGCTGGTAAACAGCAGGGCAGGATTCAAACTGAGATCTGGCTCTAAAGCTCAGCTGTTTGTACTGCTGCCTGCTGTGTACATCCTGTAACAGTGCCAGTGAGCTGGCATGGCCCGTGTGTGCCCCAGGCTACACTGAAGAGGCCCCTGGCCCTGTATGTGTTAAGATGTGCCAGGCTCTTAGGAGACACACTTTTCCTATTCCAAGAAGTTTTCCCCTCAGAAATAGGAGCCCAGTGTAGTGTTTGGCATATGCTAGGCACTATGGATGAAGGAAGGAAGGAAGGAAGGCAGGGAGGCAGGCAGGCATAATTGCAAGGCTCAGATCTGGAGCTGTCACTTCATCTCTCTGATCCCCACCGTTCCTCATCCATGAAATTGGAACGATGCCAGTCCCATCAGGGCTGCAGGAGGGAATTTGGTAATGCACAGGAAGAGATGGTGCAGTGCCCAATTTCCCATCAGGCTGGAAGTCTGCTAGGCTACGGGCTTCTTTGCATCCAGGATCTGGGATCACCAGAGCTCAGTGATGTCACCTACTGAGTTTTTCCCATCTTCAATGCTCCAGGAGAGCAGGTGACAGTTTACCTTGCCCTCAGATTCCCAAAGGCCCCTGGGGGGCACTCACAGGACACACACTGGCCTGACCAGAAGGATGGGAGTCCCTGAGTTTCTGAGCATCTCAGGAGTGAAATGTCCTAGTGGGAAGATGCCCAGGCTGGGAGCTCAGAACCCATCTCCTGTAGCTGTGACCCCAGAGAAGGCACCTGCCCCAGCTGGCACTGTGGATGTGCAGACTCCTGCAGAACCCATGCCTGAAGGCAGCTAGACCCGCTCCCAAGACACTTCATATGCCTGGAGTCCCCTCCAGAGGGGGGCTTTGATATGCTGGTCAGTGCTCACCGTTACATAGAGCTGTGTCCCCAACCCTACAGCAAGCCCAGGCCTGGCCCTGAGCAAGTTCACCAGCCGCCCCCCCTCCTCCTGGAGCCTGCTCCCCACAGGGCACTGGGGGCCCTGATGGCCTGAGCCGGAGGCTGCTCGTGGAGACTTGCCAGGACAGCATGACCAGCCCTGGCCCAGTGTGTGGTGGTGGCTTCCTCAGAAGTCCTGCCCTGTGCTCCACAGAGGCTCTGTTCAGGGCTCAACAGCAGCCAACGCCCAGAAATAGAAAAGAGGGTGCTCACCTCGAACCCAACACTCTAGGCTGGGTGAGGGCTCTAGGTCCTGACTCTGTGGGTATCAGATGAGCCCAGGAATCTATATTAATAACCAATTTACAAGCAATGGATCCACAGCCCAGGGTTTGGAAACTTCACCCAGGGATCAACACGCAGGGGGTTTCCCAGGATGGGCTCCCAGGGCAGAATTCAGACACAAGGGTTGAGTAAGGGCAAGGAAGGGGAGCAGGGCAGGGAGGTGGTGGGGACCCCAGCTTTCCCTAGCTCCCATAGGCAGCCCAGGAGCATGGGAGCAGACCTTAAAGTAATCTCAAGTTAAAGCCACAGAGCTGGGCTTTGGCACCACTCAAACCAGACGTGAACCCCCTGGTTCACATTTGTGAGGTTCCAGGAAGTCAGGGTACGGGTCAGCCTCGCCTTTAAAAGTAGCTGCTATCCGGCTCTGTTGTGCCGAGGGAGCTCTGATCTGGGGCCCTCAGAAGTTCAGGCGAGCTGGGACTGGTTGCTGATGTTGATGGGGTGGTCTCGAAGGACTGACTGAGCCCCAGAATCTGCTGTCTGACTCAAGCTGGACTCATGTTGAACTGTTACATGCTTGGTCTCTAAGATTGAACAGCTGGGAGCTGGTGTTGGAGAATCCTTCTGAGGGAGGGTCGTAAAATGACTTTTTAAAACAATGAAATAGTGAATCGGACTAGAAGTTTTCAGAAAGTGTCTGGTGTAGGTGGAATTAACTCTTGTGATGCCCAACAGACTCTCATTGAGGATTCTATCTGACAGAAATTTTAGCTGAGGACAGAAAGATTAGGAGTGAGAATTGTTCTTTGCATTGTTTGACCCAGCTGAAATTTGGAAATACATTTTTTAAGAAGAAATAATCTATCACCAGTACTAGTAAGTCATACCTATAATCACAGCTAATCAGGAGGCTGAGATCTGAGGATTGTGGTTCAAAGTTACCCAGGGCAGGAAAGTCTAGTTATCTCCAATTAACCACCAAAAAGCCAGAAATGGAGGCATGGTTCAAGTGGTAAATGCTAGCCTTGAGCAAAAATGCTCAGGGACAGTGCCCAAGCCCTGAGTTCAAGCCCCATGACCAAAAAAATTAAAAGAGCATAGTGCTTATACCCCAGTGTTATTGTGAAGATTGGGTAGGAGAAAAGGTTCCAAAAATTACAAGCTTACACCTGTTATCTTAGTTGCTCAGGATGCTGAAGTCTTAGGGGTGAGGTTCAAAGCAAGCCCAGGCAGGAAAGTGTGAGATTATCATCTCCAGTTACCAGTAAAAAGCCAGATGTGTAGGTGTGGTTCATGTGGTAGAGCACCAACCTTAAATGGAGAAGGCTAAGGGACACCACAAAGTCCCTAAGTTCAAGTTCCAGTACCAGCGCGCATGCTTGTGCGCACACACACACACACACACACACACACACACACACAAGTGGCTGAAGGTATTGCATTAGCTGGGTGGTCTTAGCAAATCTTTTAACCCCTGAGCCTCTTTGCCATCATCTGTAAAACAGGAATTAACATCTTATTACAGAGCTGCTGCACCATCACACAATAATAACAATAATAGTAATAATAATAATAATACAGACGGTCAGCAACCCTCCCATCTTGTGTGTGGTTTCCTTGGCTGGAAAGAGGCACCCTTGGGTGGGTGCCACGTCATGGGGTGTGGCCTTGGAAGGCGAGGGCTGTGTGGAGTGTAAGTAGACGTGTGGCGGTAGCTGCACACACGTGTGTCCAGGACCGCAGGACAACGCGGGAGATCCTGAATGGGGAAGGATGTATGGGGACCGGTGAGGGGAGCGAGCTGGACAGGCAGTGCAGGGACCCACCTGGGAGGAGGGCGTGGCCAGGGCTTGCTCCCCTGCTGTCCCCTGCAGTGTCTTGAAAATGACAGGGTGGAGGGACAGGTGTGGGGAGATTGGCATAGCATCCGGACTGGTCTGCTGGTAACAAACCATTTGAAAACCCACCCACAGGGCAGCCCCTCAAAGCTAGAGACTGAGTTAGTGGCGGGGAGGGGAGACCTGAGGTGAGAGCCTGTCCAGCCTGGGGCCCAGCCACTCCTGCCTGGAGGGGCAGCCAGGCAGCTCCAGATGGCCTTGGGTTCACAGGAGACTGGCAGGACAACCTAAGATCAGCTGGCAGTCCCACCCAGTAGACAGTAGGGACGGCAAAGGCCACGCCCCGAGGCTTAGTGCCCCCCTGGGTGCTCTTCCTCCACCTAGGGGAGTGTTTCTCAAGCAGGGGGCGGGGCACTTGCATCAGCCCTGCCCATCAGTGACCTTTGCCAAATCCTGGGAGACCTGGAAATGCTGCCCTGCTCCTGCCAGGAGCTGGAGAGCTCCAGTCTAGGATTCCATGGACAGGAGGAATGACAAGGAAGCACGTAGCACTGCCCAGGGCCCCAGGGAGGCTTTCAGCACAGGTGGGATTTGGGCACTTGGAACTGGGCTGGGGGAGGGGGAAGCGGGCAGGGAGGGCACAGGGAATGAGGGAGCAGATCTGTATCCATGTGGTCCTGACAGCTTTAAGGTCTCCTGTCGGTGATCCCTGGGTCTTCTCATCAGAGAAGACGCTCTCTGGGAAGGAAGTGGGCTGAGCAGGGGCAGCCGCACACCGAGGAGGGGCAGGAGGAATGGCAGGGAAGGGCTTATCAGGCCTGCAACGCCAGGATGAGGCATAGAGCCAGAACCACCCACCTGGGCTGCAAGTGAGGAGGACTGAGGCCCAGAATACTCTGTCCACGGCCCACCACAGGGCCAGAACATCTTCCTTTTCCTTCTCTGGGCCTCAGTTTCCCCTTTGTATCATTTCTTGCGATCCCCGGAGGGCGCTGTAAACCCCAGGGTCTGGCTGTGGGCGCACCCGAGCGCCTGACTGTGCATCCTGCGTGTCCCCACGCAGGGCAGTGCAGGCCAGAGTGCGGAGTGGGTGGGATGTTAAACAGTGCCTTGGAGGAAGCCTGGGCCTGGCAGGCCAGGAGAGGCCCGAAGCCGTGACTCTGCCCACTCCAAGGGCTCTCCTGCATCTTGGGGGTCCCTGGTGCGGATGCTGGACCTAGATATCATCCAAACCTCCCTCAGCCTCAGTCCTTGCCCCCAGCTTGGACGTTTCTAGTCTTGTGGAAGAATGGAGTAGCCGTGGGAGAAGGCCCTTCCCGTACGGGCTGCGGGTCTGGACATGGCTCAGAGCACCTCTCCCTGCCTTGACCACTCCCTTCGTGTCTTCACAGAGATTTACTGCCCTTCACGCTGCGCCTGCCCCAGGCCATCCTAGACTCCAGGAGCCTCTCAGACCTGGAGACCATCTCCAAACTGGGCCTGGGTAAGTCCTCTCAGCCAGAGCAGGGAGCAGGGGGGCTTGAGGAAGTGGGGCTCCAGGGCTGTTCCCCCAGAGCCTGTTCAGAACAAGGGGCCTTTCTAATGAGCCTTCTGATGGATCCGACTCTGCCCTGGCCCAGGCTGCTATACCTGGGCAATTTTCCGTCGCAGGAACCCAGAGATCCTAAAGCGCAGTCTCTTTGTTGGAAGCTCAGAAAAAATGACTGCATCAGGCTGGGGCTCTGAGGAAGCAGGGCCAATGAGACTGTTCTGGATGGGGGGCCAGAGAGTTGGCCCAGCGGCTGCCACAGCCCTGGCTCCCAGGAGAAAGGCATCATGGATATGCCTGAATTGGAGTGGCCACTCACCCCCTTTCCTAATTCCCTGCCCAACTAATAATGATTCCTAAGCACAGACCCTCAGCTTTTGGACGACAAGGAAGGAAGAGGAAAGAAGAATGAGTTGGGGGCAGAGGTGCTCAGCACCCCCCCCCCAATTTTTGTTGTTGTTGTTTTTTGTCAGTCGTGGGGCCTAAACTCTGGGCCTGGGCACTGTCCCTCAGCTCTTCAGCTCAAGGCTAGTACTCTACCACTTGAGCCACTGCACCACTTCCAGCTTTCTCTGCTTATGTGGTGCTGAGGAATCGAACTCAGGGCCTCATGGCATGCAAGGAAAGCACTCGACCACTGAGCCACCTTCCCAACCTCCCTACTTTCTGCATCATTGCAAGCGCTCATGTTTATTGGCTGCTTCCTGTGTATCAGGTGACCCTGAGTGCTCCGCAGGGCTTGATAACTTTGACACTGGACTGTGCCTCACCATGCAGACCCTCAGCACAGTGCAAGAGCTGGCTAAGGCCTGGTGCTTTAGATGTTGGACTTATGCCCTCTCAGGAGCTTGGGTGTAGGACAGGTGACTGTTTTTGTCAAGTACATAGTTCAGATAGCCTTTCCCAAGGCCTTAAACAACAGGCGTCATTGTAGAGCATGGGTTTGTTTCATGCCTGGAATCCTAGCTACTCAATGAATGGTTACATTTGTATAAAGCGATCAGAAGAGGCCAGTGTGCAGAGTCAGAAAGCAGCTTAGAGGCACAGAGAGAGGGGAGTGACTGCCAATAGGTGTGGGGTTTCTCTTGCGGCTGATCAAAATGCTCTAACACGGATTATAGTGACAGTTAACACAACTTTACAGCTACTAAAAGTAGTTAGGGAAGTAGTTTTTGTTTCTGCTTTTTTTTTAGCGGGTGAATTAAGGGAATTGGTATGTTGATAAAACAATTACACAGAGAGCAATGGATTCAGGACTCCCCACAGTGGGATAGACACAATTGAGATTCACACTTGGGGTTGGCTGAACTGGAACTTGTGTCCTGTGTCTGTATGCACTGCCAGTCCTGGTGACCATGCTGCCCCCTGCCCCTTTCCTCACCTGGCCTGGCCTCCAGTGGGAAACAATATGTGCTGAGAAGACCTGGGCATGGATTAGGACTGGGGAGCAAGCCCTACCCTCCTCATCATTCCCTGTGTGAATTCCTCTGTGTGTGTGTGTTTGTGTGCGCGTGTGCGCGCACGCATGCACACACATGTGCACACACTAGTACTGGTATTTGAACTCACAGCCTATTTATTATACTTTAGCTTTATCATTCAAGGCTGGTGCTCTACCACTGGAGCCACACCTCCACTTTTGGCTTTTTGCTGGTTAATTGGAGATAAGTGTCTTGTGTACTTTCCTGACAGGACCAGCTTCGAACCATGATCCTTAGATCTTAGCCTCCTGAGTTCCTAGGATTACAGTCATGGTCCACTGTCCCCACTCCCCCCACCCCATGGTTAATATTTTAATGGCGTTTTTAGGAAAGGCACGTGCTCCACAGCGCTTCCAGATTTGCCAGTAGCTTTTACAGTATAAAGTGTGAATTCCCCTCACTTATTAGGAAGCATTGGAAAGTTGATTTGGATTGACTATCCACTAGCCCATGTTTGGAATCATCCATACACAGATCTCCTGGAGTCTCTAGATACCTGAGCTGATTCCATACAGCATGGCACTTTACTATGTTTCCTTTTTTTTTCTTTCTGACCAGTCCTGGAGCTTGGACTCGGCCTGGGCACCGTTCCTGAGCTGCTTTTGCTCAAGGCTAGCACTCTACCACTTGAGCTACAGCTCCACTTCCTTCTAGCTTTTTCTGTGTATGTAGTACTGAGGAATTGAACCCAGGGCTTCATACATGCTAGACAAGTGCTCTACCACTAAGCCCCATTCCCAGCCCTCTACTGTATTTCCTTGTCCCCTTTCTACTCGGTGGCCAGCCCAGACCTCCTGTGATGGAACGTTAGTTTTCACTCAGGATCACCGCCAGCCCAGCCCTTCGCAGGGTCCAGGCTCTCAGAATGTGAGGCATGGAAGCTCAGGAGGCCACAGGGCCAGTGCACACAGACAGAGCGATGGAGGGACGGACTCTCCTTTATGGGAACCTGAGAGGAACCAAGCCGAGGCTTGGCGTGGTGCCACCCACCCAGCATGGGCACCCAGGCCTCTGCTAACCGCTGGGATTGCATGACACATTTCGTTTCTCCTCCGGCCTTGACATTTTGCAGCCTGCTCTACTTCTACTTCCTTTTTTTTCTTCTTCTTTTTAGCAGAAAACACTGCTCCTATGCTTTCCTAACACCCCCTCCCCACATCCGACAGTGAAGCCCCTAATACCTAGCTTCTCTGAGGGGACCACTACCCAGGCTGAGTTGGGGGCATGGATGCAGCATCTTGGGCTGAAGCCCAGGGTCTGCTCTACTTCTGTAAGAATCCAAATGGTTCTGCAAATGGCGTCCCTTCCTGTGTGCCCTCCCTTAGCCTTCCTCCCGGATTCTCTCCTCGCCCCCTCACCCCTCAGGCTGTCTCCTCCTGGCCAGCCAAGCTGGGGTTGCACTGAACCCTCCCAGATGCTGTCTCCAGCCTGGCTGGGCCGATCCTCACGGTACTCGCCCTGACTCTGGGCAGCTGTCCAGTGCAGAGTCCTGCCTTGGGGACTGGAGGTTCAGAGATGGGTGAGGAATTGGGGCTGCCGAATAGAAGCCCAGAGTCTGCTGGAGAATCAGACAAAAGGGTAGAATTACAACTCCAACCGTGGACACTACAGAGATAGGGACACAGGAGCAGCCCAGAGGCACTGGGCACCTTCCACCAAACAGAGCATAAGTAAGAGCTTGGCCAGTGGGGAGGGTGGAAAAGATTCCAAGTTGCAGGAATGGCACAGGCAAGATCTGGAGGTGGGTGGCACCTGGCATAGACAGGAAGAAGTAAGTAGCACATGGAGCAGGGAGGAGACTCAGTAGATAATTCTAGAAGAGATGTCTGGAGCCGGATGGCACAGGCTGTGAACAATCGAAGCAAGCAATAGTAAGAGTGCCCAGGCCCCGCTGGGCATTCAGTTCCAGATGATATCTACCCCATGACTTCTTTCACATAAAGGACGTCTGTGGGACCCTGACGGGGAAGACTGGGGCTGAGCACCTTGCCGTTGCTCCTTCGAGCCAGAATGGCTGCCTAGTGCTCCTCACCAGGACATCTCCCAGACTGGAAACCTTAGGGCCCGGTGAAGACACGGACTCAGGGCTCGCTCACACCATGGGGCCAGAGAATCTGTGAGCTCAGTGCCAGGCAGCGAGTCTGGTATGTTCAGATCAGTAGCTGCCCAAGGAGGGCTGCCATGGCCTGGCAGGTCCCAGGGCGTGGGAGAGCCCTCCAAGGACGTGCCCTGGCCTGGATCTCTATGGTTGTGTGGAGCTTTGCATACGAGAGAGGACACATGAAATCTTACCATCTTGTTATTGTGGGCACAGCCGGCTGTTCAGCTGACTTCCAGACCCAGGGCAGGCCTGAGGGTGAGCTCCACCCTCTTCCTGGATCCCGTCTCCCTGGAATGGGCACATACTTGGCTGCCCTCACCTTCTTGCGATACCTCCTTTCTGCCATCAAGAGCCTATTTTGGTCTTGCTACATTTCCGGTTTAGGGCAAGCCACCTGCCCCCACCCCCCTCAGACTCCGAGACAGCAATCGAGGTAGGAAATGGCGCAAGTTCCTCTGAGGGGAGGCCCTAAATCGAGTACAAAACACAAACCTGGGAGCTAACCTGACCCCGTTCAAACCCCAGCACCTGCCCTTGCCGTCCTGTGGCCTCGGGCGAGGGCCTTCTCAGAGCCTCTGGTCTCCATCCAGGGCAAGGCCTGTGATCAGGACTCAAGAGCCAGGCCAGGTGAAGTCTGGCACCCACAGGCTGGCACGTGGCAGAGCCCCATGAGTGCTGGTTCCTGGCACCCCTTGTTGTAGTTTTCCTTCCCGTGAAGCGAGGAGCTCTGGGTAGGAGGCCGTTTCTGCTTTGCATGAAGAACTCTTTCTTCCTCAGCCTGGCTGATGCTTCGTATACCCCTAAAATTATCAGGTAAAAAATTAGCTTCTCAAGTGAGTTCAAGAGTGGCCTGTCATCCAGATGCCCAGTCCCTGTGCCGTGTTGGAGGACCCTAAGCATCTTTTGGCATGTGGTACAGTGTGATCCCCAGCAGCCAAGAATCCCAGAGCCAGACCTGCTCTGGTGGTCCGGCTCCGCCACAGCCGAGACCAGGAGGACCGGTCAGCGGTCAGCCGTGCAGGACTCGGCTCGGCAGGAGCCTCGGTTTGCTGCACCCCTGTGCCCCTCACCCCACCCCAGCTGCAGCCCCTTCGTGTTAACATTGAGCATCCAATCTTGGGCTGCTTGCCGTGACAAGGGCCCCCAGGGACAATCAGGACTGATTCAATGGCCATAATCCATCTGTCCTTCATTCTTCCTGCAGGTCACAGCCATGGTGGCCAGATTGGGCCCAAGCCCCTTTCCTGGTGTGGCAGGGTGACCACTTTGCACCCTGTGATGTGGATATTAGGGCAGCTTCAGGAACCATGTCCTCTTCCTCCCCTGTGTCCTCCCCATACAAGTGCGCAGCTTCCTTGGCCCAGCGGCACCTGTGCCCTGCACAGTGGGCGGGCTCCTCACAGCCCCTCCCTGCTGGGGAGGGCAGCTCTGGGGCTTCCCCCAGCTCAGGAAGCAGTGGGAGGGGCTGGCAGGCCCCTTCCCCCATCACACCAAGGCCTCTCCCCCTCTGCTTTCTACAGGCTTCTGGGACTTCTCACAGAATCCCCAACGAGCAGCCAGCGGGGAGCCGCCCAGAGACTCAGCCCCCGGAGCCCCCACAACCTCCAGCCTCAGTCCCACTGCCCATCCGGCCAGCTGTTCCTGTGAAATCGAGCTGTCCATAGGAAATAACCACCTGTGGTTTGTGAATCCCATTTTCATCGAGGACTGTGTACTTCCCACTGACTCACCGCCTGCGGACAGCTGCCCGGAGCCTGCCACCTCGGATGCTACCTCAGTCCCCTCCAGGTGGGCCCCACGACGCCCACCTCCCCCACCCCCAGTGCCTGCCCTGCCACCCTGCGGCCCCGCCCAGCCTCTGGAGCTCCCTGCACCCGCTGCTCCTTTGCCTGGCCCCCCAACAGCACCAGCACCCCATGCCCCTGGCCCCCTGGGCCCCCTCGGGGAGGAAGATGTGAAGCGGGGGACAGCCCCCAGTCCCGGGCAGCCGGCCCTGGCCCCAGCGCCTCCTCTGCCTATGAAGAAGAAGAGCCTTCCCCTTCCTCCTCCCAGACGGCGAATCTCTGGGAGACTGTCCCTCGAAGAGCAGAGTGCCGGACCAGCGGCACAGAGGAACCATCTGGGCCTTTCCAGGGCCGTTTCTCTCTGCCTGCCACCTCAGGGGACCTCAGACAACCCTAAGGACAGACCTCAGGGCACCACAGAGCAAGGCCAGGAAACAGAGACCAAAGCCAGGGATCTGGGCAGCATGCCAGAACCTTCCAGGAAGACCAAACAACCCCCAGTCCCTCCCCCCAGGAAGAAACGGGTCTCCAGGCAGGTGGCCCCTGCCCTCCTGGCTGCCCTGGAGCGCTCCAAGCACCCCCCGAAGGAGGCGACCTCTGAAAAGGCCACACCTGATGCAAACAGAGAAGAAGGGAGTCCTGCCTCCCAGCCTCTGACACAGAACCTCCACGTCCAGGCCTCCGTCTGTCCTCAGAGCACGCCAGAGTTCACAGGCTCCTTGCCCTCACTCTCGGAGAGCCTGGGGGTCCCTGCCCTGGCCACCGAGCAGGACTCCTATTCCACCAGCAGTACCGAGGAGGAGCTGGACTTCAGCAACCCCAGTGTGAAGAAGAAGCCGTCCATGATCCTAGACAAGGCGCGCCACCGCCTCAGCTTGGTCAGCTTCGCCAGCGTCTTCCGTGTGTTCCTCTCCAACGACCGCAAGCTCTACAAGAAGGTGGTGGAATTGGCTCAGGACAGGAGCTCCTACTTCGGCTGCCTGGTGCAGGACTACAAGGTGTACAGCCTGGAGATGATGAGCCGCCAGGCGTCCAGCACGGAGATGCTACAGGAGATTCGAACCATGATGACCCAGCTCAAGAGCTACCTGCTGCAGAGCACCGAGCTCAAGGCACTGGTGGTCCCCAACCTGCACTCGGATGAGGAACTCGGTCAGTGCTGAGCGGGGGCTTGGAGCCGGGCCGTGGGGGAGGGCAGGCAGGGGAAGGGTCCTGTGCAGTAGCCACCAGTGACCATCTCACCCTCACCCCTTTTTCCAGATGTGTGTATCCATCTCTGTCTGTTGCCAGGTGGTCTGACCGGCCACCCCCTTTTCTAGATCCTTCACCTTAGTCATTAGGAGCTGTGATTTGCCCCCCAACCCTGTTCGGCAGGGGCAAAGTCACGACCCTTTCCTTGAGCGGGATCACTGTGGGCTGGTTTCTGCCTGCAGGCCCGTTCTCTCCACGGGACAGAACCTTCCCTTACTGAGCAGGTAGCCAGGTCCCCTCCCTGGAGATAGTCAAAGGGCAGCATAATATTCCTGCTGCTAACCAGGAGCCAGTGGCTCACGCCTGTCATCCTAACTACTCAGAAGCCTGAGATCCGAGGATTGCAGTTCAGAGCCCGCCCTGGCAGGAAAGTCTGTGAGATTCTTATCTCCAATAAACCACCAAAAAACCAGAAGTGGTGCTATGGGTAAAATGGTAGAGTGCTAGCTTTGAGATGAAGAGCTGAGGGACAGCGCCCAGGCCCAGAGTTCAAGCACCATGACCAACAAAAAGAAAAAAAAATTCCTACTGCTATCCAGAGCAGATAATTGTCACTTTGGAGTTGGGTAGATGTGAGTTCGAATCCTGGCATGGTTTTCACCCTATCAGAGCCCAGGTGGGTTGATCCCTCCTTAGCCTGGGGTCAGAGCACAGATTTTGTCACAGTTATGGTGACATTAAGGTTCACTAACTCCCGTCCATGAGTTGATCATAACTGTTACATAGTGATAGCATTTGAGTAGTGAAGGCAAGCCATGAGGCAAGGAAGATGGTAGGTACCAAGGTCCTGGGGCAGGAGCAGGCCTGGCAGGCTAATAGAGCAGATGGGTTGGTCAAACAAACAAAACATGAGTGAAAGAGGTTTGGGGCAGATCCAAGTGTGAATGGGACTCATTACGGCAGAGGAATGTCATGACCAGACATGTTGTTACCAAACACTAGATCTGTGTTGACCGTGGGCTCTAAGCCAGAGCAAGAGGCTGCTGACATCATCAGCAAAGAGTGATGGTAGCCTGACCAGCCCTGCCCAGGGTGGCGTGTAATAACCCTAGAGGGAGAAAATCCACGGAGGCTCTGTTAGAGGTGACAAAGGAGTTTTATTAGTTGGTCTGCAACCCTGTTCTAGGTTTCCTCAGAACTAGGAGTGGCTGTAGTCTCTAAGTGGGGGGGCAAGTTTCTTCTTCCTTTCCTCCTTCCCAGAGAGCTTCTCTGCTCTCTGCAGGCCACTCTGCTCTCCGAAGGCCTTTTCCGCAGGCCTCTCCAATCTCTGCAGGCCTCTCTGCCTCTCCTTAGGCCTCTCTGATCTCTGCAGGCCTTTCTCCACTCCACGGGCCTCTCCACCTCTCTGTGGGCCTCTCATAGGTGTTTGCTTCTTCTGCAGGACTCTGTCAGCCCGGGTCTCCCCTCAGGCCAGTCCTGACTCCTCAGGCAGGCCAGGGCTCTCCTCCGCTCTGGGAGCTGTGTCCTGTGCCATCTCTTACAGCATGCCCTCTTCTCTGTCTCCTTCCCGGAACCCCCTCCTCTCTATATCCGGTGGCCCACCCCCCAAGTCCCCTCTGATGCCCCACCCCCCTGCCGCCTAGCATGTGTGGCAGTGAAATCAGCGTGGGGCGGGAGTTTCCACCCCCTCAGGTCCTCACAGTGGCTTTGGGAATGATGAGAAGCCAGGTTCTACATCAATTGTGTTTTCCGAGACTTGAGTCAAGTGGATTTAGAAATGGGAGGAGGTCACCGCTGGTCATTTCCCGGGCACACTGCGTGACCTTGGTGCGGTCAGCACTGTGACTCTGCGCACTGACGGCAGGCTGGCCCGAGCCCGCCCAAGAGCAGCACTACAGTGCAGCAGCGGGTGGTATGAGGTCCCTGGGATGCCTTGCCAGTGTCACGCCACCCGGTGGCAGGGCAGGGTGCAGCATCTCCACCGCAGGCCCGCTCACCCTACGCTCTCGCCCGCCACAGAAGCCATCGTGGAGTCGGCCCTGTACAAGTGCGTGCTGAAGCCGCTCCAGGCGGCCATCCACGCCAGCCTGCACGACCTGCACAGCAGGGACGGCTCGCTGCAGCAGCTGAAGGAGAACCAGCTGGTGGTCCTAGCCACCACCACCACTGACCTGGGCGTGACCACCAGCGTGCCAGATGTGCCCGTCATGGAGAAGATCCTGCAGAAGCTGGCCGGCATGCACAAGGCCTACTCGCCTGAGAAGAAGATCGCCACCCTGCTCAAGACCTGCAAGCTCATCTACGACTCCATGGCCCTGGGCAACCCAGGTAAGCAGCCGGGGATCCCCTGGGGAGGAAGGGCGCCATTGCTGCCACCCCAGAGACAGGTGAGAAGCCACACTGTTTGTGTGTGCCAGGGGCAGGCTGTGTGGGAGTTCGATGCTGACACTGTTCTGAACCACAGCAGTGTGACTAAGAGCTGGAGGGCCCCTGGGGAGCTGGGAAGGCCCTCCCGCCTCTGGGGCCCACTGGCTCTGGCCCACTGGGCCTGCAGGACTCCAGTCTGCACCCAGATGATCCTTTTGCCTTGGCATGCCACTGGCCTCCTCTCCCCTCCCACATGGACTGGAGCCGTGGTGTTGGCCTGTGAGATCTGACCCCGTTTCCACAGAGGTGCCTTCCTTCCTAGGCCTGAGTCACAGCTCTTCAGATTTTGAGTGGGAAGGGGACACTGCCATAATCAGGGTGGGCAGTGGATGCAGGCGTGCAGGACAGCGGTGGCCACTCTGAGAGGGACAGTGGTCACTCTGAGCAGGAAGGCAGTGGTCACTCTGAATGGAACAGTAGTTACTCAGTGAGGTGACATTAGTCACTCTGAGCAGCGTAGTAGTCACTCTTAAGTGGGACGGCAGTGGTCACTCCGAGTGGGATGGTAGTGGTCACTTTGAGCAGGACGGCAGTGGTCACTCCGATCGGGACAGCAGTGGATCCTGAGTTACTCAGGCCTCGGCTGTGCTCGCAATGGCTTGTGTTCAGTGCAGTTGGAGCCGCTGGTTGAGGCCGGCTCTGGCAGCAGGAGGGCAGCCTCTGCCCATGGCTGGAAGCCTTGGAGACCTGGCCTGAGCTCGTTAGGGGAGCCCAGGGGCTTATTTTGGGGGAGGGGCTGTTGATAGGACCTGCTGCAAAGTCACATTGCACATGAGACCCGCTGCATGGGCCTCCCAGCGCTCCTCCGAGCAGAAAAGAGCAGGAATCCCTGTACCACAGCAAGCAGAGCACAGACAGACAGACAGATAGACAGACAGAAGTTCATCCCAATCACCCTCCAGCTGGACATGAGCAACCTGCCCAGCTGCACATGGCAGCCATGGTCATGGGGAGGAGAAAGATGGTCATCTCTCTATCCACACAGATTGGGTTCCGATTCCTGGCCTGTCACTTGCGATGACAGTGTTTTGTCATTGGGAAGAGGCCCTGAGGTGCGGGCACAGCGCGTGTGTCCCCTCGATGACGCGGGCTCTGGTTGAGGAGCGGGGCCTCTCATCCTGCTTGCAGAGGAACGGGCCTGTTTCGCCGCAGGGATGTGGGTGGGGGTCTGACACCAGCCCCGCCGCCTTTCTGGTCGGACTGTGGTTTGGGTTGTGCCCTCGGACTGTTCATGAGACAGAAACACCCTCAGTGGCACACCTCACAGGTGGGGCTGTGGCTCATGTGGTCATGGTGGGACTGTGACCAGCAACCAGGGCTACCACAGAAACGGAGGGTCATGACGGCTGGCCTTGACGGGGTGGGCTGTAGGTGGATATGAGATTCTTGTGCAGTCTGCAGTCCTGACAACAGGCCCAGGCTGGGAACGCAACTGAGTCTCTCCTCAAATGTCCCCAAAGAAGTAAGGGGACAGCCAGGCACTGGGGGCTTCCGCCAGTAATCCTAGGAGCCTGAGGTCTAAGGATGGAGGTTGGGAACAGGAAAGTCTGTGAGACTCTTATCTCCAGTTAACCAGCAAAAAGCCATAGAGATATGGCTCAAGTGGTGGAGACGGGGCAGGCTGTAGAGCCCTCAGAGAGGGCAGCATGGAGCTGGGCGCCCACAGCTTAGGCCTGTAATCCTAGCCACTAAGGAGGCAGAGATATGAGGATCGTGGTTCAAAGCCAGCCTGGGCAGCAAAGTCTGTGACACTCTTTATCTCCAATAAACCACCAGAAAACCGGAAGTGGCTTGTGGCTCAAGTGGTAGAGCGCTTGCCATGAACTGAATTGCTCAGAGACAGCACCTAGGCCCAGAGTTCAAGCCCCATGACCGGCCAAAAAAGAAAAAAGCGGGCAGCATGGTCAGCCCACAGCCCAGAGCCTGGAGAAGACACCTGGCTTGCCCGGCAGCTGCCACGCGGAGCTAAAGCTTACGATGTGCGAGAGCAGGGCTGGCAGGAGCAACGTTCTACCTGCAGCAGCCAGGCCGTCCTGTATGGCAGGTAGAGGGACAGCCAAGAAACGAGGTCCAGCCAGAAAGGACACAGCCGTGTGCACCTTCCGCTGGACTCAGAGGGCCGAGCCGGCCTGGGACCTCAGAGGAAAAGCAGGACAGCCAGGAGGCAGACCAACCAGGCCTATGCCATCGTCCCTGGCCTCAGTTTCCCCCCACGTGAGCGGGCTCAGGCTCTCGCGAGGCTGTCACGTGCTGCTTTCTGCACGGTCCCCTTCAGCTGGGACTTCATGACTACAGATCTCACCTTGCGTGACCCCACTTCCAATGGGGGCCATCCTCCCCTCCTGGGCCCCCACAGGCTGGCTGGAAAGGCAAGGCCCAAGGGCTTGCAGACCCGAGACAGGACGGGGACCCCACAGGCGGCCGGGTCCCATACCGCAGCCTCGGTGTGTGTCCGCGACCCACAAGCCTCTGGCTTCCTGGAGTCCTGGTAAAACCCAGTCCCAGGGCCTGCCCATCACACACCGTGAATTTTACTGTCGATGAATTTGACTCCTAGGAACCTAGCCGGGCCCAGGGCTGAGGGGCGGAGCCAACTGCAGGTGCATGCACAGGGACGGGGCAGCAGGGGGACGCAGAGCAGAGGGAAGCCAGGTGTGAAGCTGCGCTCTCCAAGGCCAGCTCCATGGGGACATCAAACCACCAAGGTCCCAGCAGGACCCTGGCTTGGCACAGATTCCCCAGAGAACCCAGCGGGTGCCTCATGGGGCTGTGGAGTCCTTCCTCGACAGCTGATCACTTGGGCAGAAGTCGGTGACTCCCAACTTCATCTCTGCCCCTAGGGGGGAGGGCAGAAGCATCCTACTGGGAGCCCAGCGGCCTCACCTGCAGGCCCCCTACAAGAGTTGGCTTTCCAGGCTCATTGGTGATCCTGGTTTGGACCCCAGCTTCCATGCTGGTCTTAGAAAATAACGGCACGGGGCCTCAACATGAGGGTACACCGTGCGTGCCTGTTAGGACGGCCGCACAAAGCCCCTGGAGTGGGGCTCAGGCCCTCTCCCCAGGTCTGTTCTCCTATTTATAAAGTACAGCTGGGAGCCTGGGGCCCGCAGCGCGTGCCTGTAATCCTAGCTACCCAGGAAGCTGAGATCAGGATCACAGTTCAAAGCCGGCTCACACAGGAAAGACTGTAAGACCCTTACCTCCAATTAACCACCAAAAAGCCGCAAGTAGAGGTGTGGCTCAAGTGATAGAGCACTAGCCTTGAGTGGAAAAGTTAAGGGATGGCGCCCAGGCCCTGAGTTCAAGCCCCAGTACTAGCAGACATGTGCATGCCCCCCCCACACACACATATGCACATACACACACAAATACAGCCCAAGGATGTGTGGGCTCTGATGCCCGGATACCTGAGCCGCTACCCTCCCACACATTACCACAGCTTGTTTCTATCTTGACGGCCCCCCAAAATGACAGTAGACAGCTGAGCCCCAGCCACTTCACAACCAGTCCTGCTGGACATCTGCACACAGGCTTCTGTGTGCGATTGTATGGGAAATAAAAATGCTTTTAAAAAAAGTCTTTCACTTGGAGATCTTTTCAGACTGCACACAGTCCAATAGAGCATTGCGGGAGGAACGGCACCGCACTCCGCCCAATGATTAACTTCCTGCTTCACCTGTCGCTCCACGTTTTGAATGGATTAAGTCACACGTCTGCTTACTGCACACACACACACACACAAACTCACTCACACTCTGCCCTGGGCATTTTATCTTGTGAAATATTTGAGGCCTCGCTGCATGCTTTGTGTAAGGACTGCAGACCTGCACATTTCTTTGTGCATTTCATAAATTGGTTTTGGGTTTTGTTTTGTTTTTTTAATCTGAATGGCTGGGTTGTCATCTCTGGGCGAATCAAATCTTTTGAGCATTTTCTCCATTCCAAATCCAGTGGAAGACCGCACGCGTGGCTGCGTTATAGTCTCTAGGGTGTATTAACTCTAGTCTGCAAGGCGTCCACAGACTTGCCTTTTATTTATTTATTGTGCAGGTACTGGGACTTGGCCTTGAACTCAGGGCCTAGGCTCTGTGGCTGAGCTTCTTTGCTCTAGGCTACTGCTCTACTGCTTGAGCCACAGCCCCACTTCCAGTTTTCTGGTGGTTAATTGGAGATAAGAGTCTCATGGACTTTCTTGCCCGGGCTGGCTTTGAACCTTGATCCTCAGATCTCAGTCTTCTGGGTAGCTGGGATGACAGGCGTGAGCCAGTGGCTCCCAGCTAGCTCCCTTTTCTTTTCTGAGACTGAAGGGCGCAGCCCCTTCCCCACCCCCTCCTTTGACCTTTAAGCAAGTTCCTCATTTGGTGTTTTTCATGTTTTGCCGATGGGGAGCATGAGGAGCTGATTTCCGGTGGCTTTGGTGTTGGTGATTTGCTCCGTGCTCTCAGCCCTGCGCCGCCATGGCCTTTCAGGCAAACCAGCTGCCTTGCTCCGAGGGTCTGGGAGCCTCGGTGTCCCCCACGGAGGCAGCTCCATAGCCCAAGACCTGCCCACCTCCTCCACTGTCACCGCAGGACACCCACCCCGTGCTCCCACAGCAGGGCCTCTGCACCATCTCCCCACACCTGCGGTGGTCCCCCCCACACGCCTCTTTGATCGCCATGATTCTAGTTTTGCAGTCCATGGTGGAGCTTGCCTGGCCACATTTGCAGTGAGACTAAGACAGATCGGGAGGCTGAGATCTGAGGATCCTGATTGGAAGCCAGCCTGAGCAGAAAAGTCTGAGAGACTCTCATCTCCAATTAACCACCAAAAAGCCACACGTGGAGATGTGGCTCGAGTGACAGTGCCAGCCGTGAGAGGGGGGAAAAAAGCAAGAACATGAGACCCTGAGTTCAAGCCCCAGTACCAACAGAAAAGGACAAAAAGGAACTTATGTGGCAGGGCACAGGCGTGGGCCGGCCCAGTGGAGGCCTGCAGGGGTCCCGTGTGACTGCGTGTCGTCCAGGCCCGTGAGCATGCCCATGAAGCTGGCTCTGATCAGGGCGTCCGTCGCCTCTCAGCAGAGAGCACATCAAGAATCTGCAGCCGGTTGGGCTGGGAAGGTGGCTCAGTGGTGGAGCGCTTGCCTTGCATGCATGAGGCCCTGGGTTCGGTTCCTCCGCACCACATAAGCAGAAAAAGCTGGAAGTGGAGCTGTGGCTCGAATAGTAGAGGGCTAGCCTTGAGCTGAAGAGCTGAGGGACAGCGCCCAGGCCTACAGGCCTACAGTTCAGGCCCCACGACCAACAAAAAAAAGAGAAGAAAAGTCAAGCAAGAAAGAGCACAAGGCTCCAAGTTCAAATCCCAGGAGCCAGGCACTATTGAGGTGTTGGTTTTAAAGACTGAGTGAGATGAAGTAGCATCCTGAGCAAGGCTGATACGTTGGCAGGGAAACAGACAGTGGAAAGATCAGTGGGCACGTAAGACATCGCTGGACATTGCCACCTACTACAAGGCAGGGGACAGGATCTGGGTGTCACAGGGGTCTCCTGTCTGTGCCAGTGTGCAGGGAACACCTCTCCAAGCTCACTCTGCAGGGACGGCACCCAGGAACTCACTGGAAATGCATCACATCTGGTCTTGTGGGGTTACCAGGGAGGACACCCAGAGAAAGGAAGCTGCTTTAGGCAGGAGTCATAATGGAGAGGAAAAAGTGAATCACAAGAAGGTTAGGCTGCCCCAGGACATTTGCATCCGCCACCTACTTTTCGGAAGAACCCAATCAACAGAACTAGAGGGTGTGGGTAGTGATGCAAAATGCTACATCCTTTCCTTCTAGTACGGGGTCTGCAGACCACAGCCTCCCGCCTGCTCGGGCTGGCTAGCCTGATTTGGTGCCTGGAGTCTTATTGAAGCAGTTTTATTCAACAGTTACTGGGTACCTGTGACCACTGGTGCTGGGAAAGAAACTGCATGCTCTGCAAACCTAAAAATACTCACCGGCCTGCCCTGCAGAGAGCAGATGATTAATTCCCGCAGGACCTCCTGCCAGCCCCTCTGAAGCCATCAACAGCCTCAGCTTAATACGCTGCGATGGGTGTGCAGATGGGGAAATCGAGGCTCCCAGAGGCTTCCTGAGCCACCCTTGATCCCGCAGTCCTGGGGGGGTCCCTCATTTCCAGGTCAAGAGGTTTCTCTGAAAGAGTGGTGGCCTTCTCCACCGTGTCTCAGCCCAGAACACACGCAGAAGGCCCCGGCCAGTGAGGAAGGAGGCGGAGGTCACCGGGCTGCAGCTGGCAGGGCCTGTGTGCCGCAGGCCTGCAGGAGCCCCGGCCTCTCCAGAGAGACGCACAGATCCCAGAAGGGTCCCAGCCGCCCTGAGACCCCACAGTGCCCAGGCCGAGCCCTGGGCCTCCACGAGGAAAATGCAGCACTGGCTGTGCTGGCGGGGCTGCCTGGGGGCTGGTGGCGGGCGGGGGGGGGTGCTGGGGGAACGCCTCCCACAGCCCTAGGCTGGTCCACGCACAAGCCCTGAGCTGGAAGACAGAGAGACAGTGATATTACAGTTCAGAGAGGGTCAGAGATTGGCCGCAGCTCACACATCCTCCATCACTGGCCTGGGGAGGGAAGGCAGGGAAGGAGGGAAGGGCAGATATGAGGAAGTTGGAGTGGAATTACCCAGCATGCATGAGAGTGGACAAGCGGACAGAGGGGGCAGGGGAAGGCAGGGAGGAGGTGGCATGGGGGGGTGATGGAAGGCTGCCTGTGAACAGGACAGTGAGCCCACGGAGACTTGAGAGCTCCTGGCAGTTGGATGTCCTGGGGGATGGGGAGGCGGGGAGACAAGCACCATCCTGAGTGAGCTTTGGTGTCCAGGCAGCCCAGGAAGGCTTCCTGGGGGAGGTGGAGCGTGAAGTAGCGGAAGCTGGGGTTGTGGGGGAGGAAAAGGCAGGTTCCAGTGGCTCCCTTTCCTCCTGGGGGAGGCGAACAAAGCGAGCTGCACGCAGCTGGCCAAGCTGATTTAAGGATTCACTGGTGCAGCGACGCCTTGTCGGTGGTGGCTCACGCCTGTCATCCTAGCTACTCAGGAGGCTGAGATCTGAGGATCCCGGTTCAAAGCCAGCCTGGGCAGGAAAGTCCGTGAGACTCTTATCTCCAATGAACCACAGAAAACCAGAAGTGGCACTGTGGCTCAAGTGGTAGAGCACTCACCTTGAGCTGAAGAGCTGAGGGACAGCGCCCAGGCCCAGAGTTCAAGACCCACGACCAAAAAAAAAAAAAAAGACCTTTCGAGTGTGACACACATGGGTGCAACACGCGGAGGGGATGTGGCAAAAGCCTCAGGTAGGGGCCCAGGGACCGGCTCGGGGGCCACTGGCCAGCCTGGCTGGTCCATCTGGACAGAGTGGGGGTTCGCAGGGCAGGAGGTGTCTGGACTCTGCCACAAAAGACCTTGAACTCCACAGTGTGTGGACTCGACTTGGTTCTCTGGGAAGAAGGGAGTCACGGAAGAACAGCCTACAATCAGACCTCTAAGGAGATCTGAGGTCGGGGAGGCTTAGGTGATGAGGCTGGAGAACGGTGAATACAGGAGGCCTGAGCAGTGGGCAGCCGGCCCCTTAGGCAGAGGGCAGACCTCGCCTTGCATCTTGGGACAGAAGGCTTGCAGTGGGGGGAGGGGAGGTGTTCCGGGAAATGCTGGAGAGATTGATACATGCTCTGTGGGTCCAGGGGTCCTACGGGAGGCTCTTTCACTCTCTGTTCACCCAGCACGACCTCCTGGGCCCCTTTACTAAAGTGCCAGCCTGCGTGTGTGCAGGGGACGCGGAGAGGAGGTGCCCACGGGGGGGGAGGGGGGCTGGCGAGGCCGATGTGGGATGAGAGGGGTCCCTGGTAATCCCAGGGGGCGGCCAGCATCCCTTGAGGACACAAAGTGATTCAGGTCCTGAGGGACCCCTGGCTTCCCCACCCTCATCACCCACAGGATCGGGGCCTCTGGGTTCCTAAGCCAGAGCCCCACTCCAACACCCTTCGGCTGGAAGTCATTCCCCTGGCCTGGGGCACTTGGGACTGGCGTGGGCACTGGCGGGAGTTTATTAGCGTCCTGACCCTGAGGATCGTTGGGGCAACTGAGAAGCCTGTGCCTGGGAGGTGTGTGCCTGCACCTAGCTGCAAGGGAAGCGGGAAATGGAGCTTCCATTTTGGGAGGCCATGTCCCAGCGAAGCCGGGAGGCCCGTTGCTGTGAAAATGCAAAGGCTGGAGAAGACTGGAGAAGCAGAGCAGCAGTGCTCTCCAGCACGAATGCCAGGCTTGAACAAGGTTGAGCAGACGGGAATGCAAGCACCACCCCCTCCCCTACCCCACACCCCCACCCCCGGGCCAGTTCTCCTGAATCACAGTTCGTGGCTCTGCCCAGCTTTTTCACTCAAGGCTAGTACTCTACTATTTTGAGCCACAGCTCCACTGCTGGTTATCTGGTGGATAATTGGAGCTGAGAGTCTTATGGACTTTCCTGACTGGGCTGGCCTTGAACCGTGATCCTAAGATCTCAGCCTCCTGAGTAGCTAGGATGACAAGCATGAGCCGTTGGTGCTCAGCCGCCCAGAGCCCTTTAACTTCCTTGTTCCTCAAGCTGCCCTGGGCCTTGGGCCTCCCAGAGAGCCAGAGCCCAGGAGCTCCATGACCTTCTCATGAGCAGTCAGGAAGCGCTGACGTGGGGGTGACCGCGGCACCGCACCCTGACGGGGGGCAGCTCCCGGGAAGCCTGGCACTCACCGCCCCCTCCTCCTCCACCTTTTCCTCCAGGAAAGCCCTACGGGGCGGACGACTTCCTGCCCGTGCTCATGTACGTGCTGGCGCGCAGCAACCTCACGGAGATGCTCCTGGACGTGGAGTACATGATGGAGCTCATGGACCCCGCCCTGCAGCTGGGGGAAGGTGAGTCACACAGGCCCCGAAACCAGGGGCCCGACGAGTGCCTTCTGGGACGTGGGACCCCACGCCCCTGTTCCAGGAATGCTCACAGAGCCAGGAAGAGAGGATATTACCATTGCCCACTGGCAGCTGGAAGGGGGAGAAGCCCCGATGATGAAATCCAGGGGGCTTTCTGGAGGAGGTGACATCCAGGCCGAGCACTGAAGGATAAGCAGAGAAACAAGGGAGAGATGTCCTGCGTAGCAGGAGCAGCAGGGGCTGGTCAGGCAGCAGGGGCTGAGGGCAGGGCGCACGTGAGCGCGCGGGCAGCGGTGGCCCTGAGGCCTTGCTCAGCCCTGCTCAGCCCGCCCAGCGCAGGACCCCTGTCACGGAGGAGGTTGACGTCAAGGCTCCGCAGGCCCTGGTGGCATATGAGAGAGTGGTTTTCTATGCCCACCTCCGTTTCCCTTCCCCTTCTCCTGCCCACACTTCCTCTGCCCGCTGAGGCTCAGCCGCCCTCCACCAAGAATCCCCTGAGATGCTGTGGCTATGTGGGGACTCCCAGAGCCCCTGACCTGTCCTCTGAGCTCCCATCCACCCATCCACCAACCCACCAACCCACCCATCCACCAACCTACCCATCCATCCACCTATCTACCAACCCATCCATCCACCAACCCACCCATCCACCAACCCATCCACCAACCCACCCATCCACCCATCCACCAACCCACCCATCCACCCATCCACCAACCCATCCATCCATCCATCCATCCATCCATCCATCCATCCGCCAACCTATCCATCCAACAATCCACCCACTGACCCATCCACCAATCCATCCATCCACCCATCTATCAACCAACCCACCCATCCACTCATCCACCAACCTACCCATCCACCAATCCACCCACCTACCCATCCATCTACCTACCGACCCACCAATCTACCCACCCACCCACCCACCCACCCACCCACCCACCCACCCACCCACCCACCCACCCATCCACCCATCCACCAATCCATCCACCAACCCATCCATCCACCCATCCACCGGCCTACCCATCCACCAGTCCACCCACCTACCCATCCATCCACTCATCCACCAACCCTCCCACCCACCCACCTACCTATCCACCATCCACCCATCTATCCACCAATCACCAACCCACCAACCCACCCACCTATCCACCCATCCACCAATCTACCCATCCACCCATCCACCTATCCACCCATCTACCCATCCACCAACCCACCCATCCACCAACCTACTTGTCCACTTATCCACACACTCACCCATCTACTTATCCATCCACCTATCCACCCCTACATTTATCTCTATACCGTCCACCTATCCAGCTATCCTCCACACCTGCCTATGGATCCTCCGTCCATCCACCTGCCCCCACTCACTCATCCACCTAGCTCCCCACATCTAGCCACCTTCCACCCACCCATCCACCCATCCCCACCACAGCTATGTACTCATCTACTCCATGATCCACCCTTCCACCTGTCTACCCATCCATCCACTGAGCCAGCCTCCGTCCATCCATCCATCCATCCATCCATCCATCCATCCACTCACCGTGTGTTCCCCAAAGCATCCACCTCCCTTGGGGAGACTTCTAAGGCAAATGTGGGTATCTGCCAGGCAGCGTGCAGCCGGGCAGAGCCTTGCCGTGACATCCAAACGCCACCCTTGATAGCAGCCCTGGCCATGGGAGAACTTGAGGTGTTGCACCGTGCCGAGTCTCCTGCACCTCCCTCTGCCCTAGTCCAAAGCCGGGGTGTGCGTTGGGACTGCGTGTCTCCCCTGCCCCTCTCCAGCCCGCAGCACAGGCCTGCCTGTGGGGGTCTGGAGCCTCTGGCACCAGCAGGACCGTGGGGGTCTTCAGCCTGGACAGGGGCCTCACCTGCAACAGCCTCCACCCTGTCTGAGCATATCCGAGGGGAAGGGAGGTGGGAGCGGCTCCTGAGTCTCCCCACACTGCCGCCCAGGATCCACCAGCTCCGCCCTGAGGAGCACAGGACAAGTGGATGGAGCCTGCAGGGGTGCGGAAGGACTGGGCCCCCAGCGGTGCCCGCCCCCACAATCCTCACCTCCCAGAACCCTGAGGTTCTTGGAAACTGGAGGAGGCAGAGGAGGGATCAAAGGCAGCCCCGGGCTGGAGGGGGAAGGGGCTGTGGGTTAGAGGCTCTGGCATTCTGCGGACGTGGCTGAGTGTTCGCCCCTTCTGGCTGTCATGGCCAAATTAGGTGAGGCCGCTCCAATGGATGGCGTCTTCTCTCTGTGTCCTGCCACAGTAACAGGGGCGGCGCGGCCCTCCGGCTCCTTCATAAGGTCCCTGATCCCATGACCTCGTCACCTCCCAGACACCCCACTGAGTTCTCTCCCCAGGGCGGTGATGGAAGCAGAGCAGGGCCAGCGTTGGCCTCTACCTTCCTGCATCTCGTGGTTCATGGGAATAACAGTTCTGCCACCCACAAAGTGCCCACAAGGGGGCGCTAGCGGCTCACACCTGCAATCTTGGTTACTCAGGAAGCTGAGATCTGAAGACAGATTCAGCGCCAGCCAGGGCTGAAAGTCTGAGACTCATGAACCACCAAAAAGCCAGAAGTAGAGGTGTCGCTCAAGTGATAGCACCAGCCTTGAGCAAAAATGTTAAGGGACACTGCCCAGACCCTGAATTTAAGCACCAATACTGATGAAAAAAAAATAAACAAGCACCTGTGGCTCACGCCTGTAATCCTAGCTACTCAGGAGGCTGAGATCTGAAGATCAGGGTTCAAAACCAGCCCAGGTAGGAAAGTCCATGAGACTCTTATCTCCAGTTAACCACCAGAAAACCAGAAGTGGCACTGTGGCTCAAATGGTAGAGCACTGGCCTTGAGCTGAAGAGCTGAGGGACAGTGCCCAGGCCCAGAGTTCAAGCCCCACGACCCACACCCTCCAAAAAAGTAAATAATATAATAAAATAAACCAAAAACAAAAGCAAAACCAGCATGTGTGCAAGCGAGATCCTGTATGCACTGCGGCCTTCCCGCCAGGTCTGTGCAGCCTGATCTAGCAGCTGGCTAGTCACTAAGTCCCACCGTCTCTGCAGCGGTCACCTGGAGCAGGAGCAGCTCCCTGTGAGAGCAGGGAGGGCTGACCGGGCCCGGTTCTCTCTCTGCACCCCTCTCCCGCTTCCAGGGAAATCTGCTGGGTACCTGGCTTGGAGCCAGTCAAGAATCCAGACAGGTGTCCCATGGGCTCCTTGGCCGGAGCCCCTCCCCAGGCTGGCTGACCGCTGGCTGGGCCGGCCTTGGCTAGTCCCAGCACTCACCCCAGAGCAGGGCTCAACGCAAAACTCAGAGTGGTGTTGCCTGCCACCTAGTGGTGGTACCAGGCCCTGCATGGCCGAGTCAAAGAAGGAGTCGCTGGGAAAAACAGAGCCTCAGCAAGACAGAGGTGCTGAGCAGGGCTGGAATCTCGGGAAAAGCCTTCTTGGCCATTCAGGCTTTAAGGTCAAGTAGATAACAAACAGTTTTAATAGATACTCCAGGCACCTGGCCCAACTTGGGTTGGGCTGGGGTCGAACTCAGAGAATGGAGTGCGAGCGCCCCCTGGGGGTGGCAGCGGGTGGGGCTGGGGGCGGGGTCTGCTGACGTGGGTGTGTCTGGGGCGGGGCCTGGTGGGGGGCGGGGCCTGCCCCCTGGACCAGCCTCCCTCCTGTAGGAGTTGGGATGCCGTCCTCCTCCATCCTGCACGCCTTTGGTCCTCAGGCTCCTACTACCTGACCACCACCTACGGGGCCCTGGAGCACATCAAGAACTATGACAAGATCACGGTGACCCGGCAGCTGAGCGTGGAGGTGCAGGACTCCATCCACCGCTGGGAGCGCCGGCGCACGCTCAACAAGGCCCGGGCCTCGCGTTCTTCCGTGCAGGTGATGCTGGGGGTCAGGGTGGCAGGGCTGGGGGACCCTGGCAGTGACTGGGCGCTCCTGCCCACCGGCCTGTCCGCAGGGGCGCAGTGGGCAGGGTTCCCACGCCACAAGAGTCAGTGTGTGTCCGGCTCCGTGCTGGACCCATGGGGGCCCTGGATGCACGCTGCATCCCGGCCATTCAGTGCCAGACTCCCGCCTCCTCCAGTCCATCCCCACACTCAGGCCTCCGGGGAGGACGGCATCCAGACACCCACCTTTCCCTGAACCTGCGCGCTCAGCTCCCTGGCTGCCCAGCCCCCACTCAGGCCGCCCTGGTTCTCGTCCTCAAGAAGGGGAGGAACACCATGCCCACTCTGTTTCCAGCAGCCCCCCTCCAGGAAGGCCTCCCTGGTACCCCCCTCCCCCTCCCCACAGACCAGGTGATGCCGCTTCCTCCTGCCACTTCTCCATCAGCGTGGAGAGCGATGGCTCCTCATCTTCTAGTCTGTGTGTGGGCTGTGGCCTCTGAGGGCTTACCACCCACGGTTCACAGGTGTCTCAGAGACCAACCAGGGCTGGTGCAGACCAGGATTGCAATGTATAGAAAAGAGAGGAAGTTGGTCTAACAGCCAGGCAGCAATCCAGAGCTGTCCACAGCAATCCAGATCACTGTCATGGCACCCAGAGCACACCAGTCCTGAACCCCACTCCCCATTTGCAAGATGGCCACGGATGTGAGGAAGGAGACCTGGATGGACTCAGCCGTACACTAGCTTGCTCTGTGACTCTGACTGAGCCCAGTGCCTCTCTGGGACTCAGTTTCCCTCACCATACAGGCAGAGTGTAAACCAGATGAGCTGTACAGGGTCTGTCCTCAAATCAACAGCATCTGGTAACTGGCTTGGGGGGGACACAGCACAGTGTGTGTCCCTTCCACAGCTCTGGAGATTCCGTCATGCTTGGTCTCGGCCTGGCCCTCCTCCTTTACTTCCTGCTTCTTCTCGGTAGTTCCTGCTGCTGACTCAGAGCACCATGAGATGAGCCCCAGCAACAGGAGAGAGGCCCAGGATGGGGGTGAAGATCTAGGAGGGGTACACTCTGCCTCCTCTTAGTGCTTCCTCTGCACCTGACACCTTAAATCCCTTCCCCAGACTGAACGTCCAGAGACTGTGTCAGCAGTAGTTACAAAGGGCCCTTGAGGGGCTTAATGGAGGACAAGGAGAACACAGGACACTACTAAGACACAGATAGGGGTTAGAATTTCCCTCTGGAAGAATCCCTTTGCTTAGGAGCCTGGCACCCCTGCACCCTTTTGGCTGCTGAGCCATCCTCTTGCTGTTCCCACTCTGTCCACAAGAGGGCAGCACCACACACAGTTCCCATCTGCCCTCAGGATGCAGGATGCCTGCCCTCAGAGGTTGTCCCAGGTTCGAGCTCCCTTTATGGACAAATGCACAGCCATGATGCCAGAACTGATGTAATCCTCGGTCCACAGCTGAGGACACAGAGGGTGACAAGGGTCAAGTCCACACAGTGAGTGGGAACAGGTGCAGAGCCAGGCAGGTCCTGGCTGGTGGAGGGTCGAGTCTACAGGGTGCATTTGTGCATGTGAGGGCTCCTGTCCTCAATTTGTAAGATCCCTCTGCACATGTCCTGGGTCTCCTTCCTGTCCCCAGATCCCTCCCTATTTCCTCTAAGCTTTCACTCCCCTCTCTGCCCTGCCTCCGAACCCCAGGGGCAACTCTGGCCTGAAGGGGCTGAATTGTTTCACCAGTGTGAACTGCAGGGTGCTAGGGTAGAGTCTGAACCTCCAATGGGTGGGTGGGTGGATGAATGGATGGGTGTTGAATGGATGGGTGTTGGGTGAGTGGATGGACAGATGTCAGATGGCTATTGGGCGGATGCATACATGGATGGATGGGTGTTGGATGGATGGATGGGTGTTGGGTGAGCAGATGGACAGATGTCAGATGGCTATTGGGTGGATGCATGGATGGATGGATGGATGGATGGGTGTTGGATGGATGCATGGATGGATGGGTGTTGGGTGAGTGGATGGACAGATGTCAGATGGCTATTGGGTGGATGGATGGATGGATGGATGTTGGATGAAGTCTGTGGCCTGGCCACCAGGGGGTGCACTTGCTCACTGCTAGGACTCAGTGTGGAAGGGAGACTCCAGAGGGAAGGCTGGCCCCGCAGGCTCAGTGCAGTCAGAAAGGGGCTCATGCACCTGTTCCCCACATCACAGCTGCCCTGCCACCTCCCCTGTACAGAGAGAAGCTTGGGGGCCACAGTGGCCCCCACCACTGGCCTGAGCCAGACATGGGAGTGGGAGGTGACACCCAAACTCTGCTCAGCCCCGCCCGTGATGTCAGGCCCTTTCCTCTCGCCCCACAGGACTTCATCTGTGTGTCGTACCTGGAGCCTGAGCAGCAGTCGCGGACCCTGGCCTCGCGGGCAGACACGGCGGCCCAGGTGCTGTGCGCACAGTGCGCGGAGAAGTTCGAGGTGCTGCAGCCAGAGGACCACCGGCTCTTCGTGCTGGTGGACGGGCGCTGCTTCCAGTTGGCCGATGAGGCGCTGCCCCACCACATCAAGGGCTATCTGCTGCGCAGCGAGCCCAAGCGCGACTTCCACTTTGTGTACCGGCCCCTGGACGGTGGCGGGGGCAGTGCCAGCCCACCCTGCCTGGTTGTGCGGGAGCCCAACTTCCTGTGAGGCCACGCCATGGCACTGTTTCCTGAGACTAGCTAGATGGAAAGGCAGGGACTGGCTGCTCTCTCACGTTCACACTTTCACACTTAGGTCCCCCGTATACCAGCCAACACTGGCGTTCGTGTCAGACGTGTGTACCAGCCACCAAGCATGCCTGACCCAATGTGGCACAATAACAGCCAAAATTACCATAAAGCAGCAGCCAAAGGTGCTTCCTGAGGCATAGTCATAGTCCTGAGAGGTCATGTTTTTCATTACACAAAAGGAAAACAGACTCCTAGGGGGAAGAGGCCCCCCCATCCAGCTACAGCAACAAGCCCACCCCCTGTTCTCACAATTCCTCAAGCCATTCCCTCCACTTGCCCCCTGCCACCCCACTGTGGTCTTTTCCAGATGAAGGCCTGAGCTCAGGACTGGCTGAGGAAGGGTCCCCTGGCCACAGCCGCTGCCAAGGCCGCACAGGACAGAGCTGGCATGGCCTGGACCTGCCCCGCATCTCAGGAGCATCTCAGGATGAAGACAGGCCTCACCCTGCTCAGGGCCTGTCTTCAGCCACCAGTGCCCACAGTGCCCCCTTGTGGCACCCGAGCCCAACAACAAGCAGCTATGTGCACACTGGGGCCACCAGGCCGAGCCACCACCTGCAATGCATGGACAAACCCAGCCTCGGCCACAGGAGTAAACAGACGGGTGCAGGGATGACTGGAAGATGCACTGTGGGGTTAATAAAGACCATTTGAAAATGGCACTTCCTTCTCCAGTGGAGCTGGAGCTCTGCCTGCCAGCCCAGGGCCCCGTTCTCATCCTAACCCCTTCCAGGAGGGCCCCCCCGCCTGGAGGCTCAGGCCCTCGTCCTGCTTGCCCTTGGCCTGGTCTTTTCCACTCCCACCATCCTTGGGTGCCATTCCTAGCTCTGGGTCATTTCCAGAACACCTCTCATCTCCCTGCTTCTTCCTCTTTCAGCAATACCATTCCTATGGTCCATGCCTGCTCAACTCCTATGCATCCTTCAAAGCCCAGCTCCTGCAGGAAGCCTCCCTGATGCCTCAGCTTGAGCCACACAGGGCTCATCCCTGGTCCCACACCCCAGGCTGGTTTCATGAGAGATCACCCGTGGGATGGCAGTTGTGGTTGGTACTTCTTTTTCCAGAACATCAAGGTGAGGTGATTAGCTTCTGTGTCCCTGACGTTGAGTGTAGGTAGTTACCAAGTGACTGATAAATGTCACATAGCTCTTGTGGGGCCCCAGTGTGAATGGTCCCAAGCGGGGCTCCGTCCATAGATGAGGGCTGTGCCGCATGCTGCCAGCCCTGAGGTCCCAGGGTCTGATGGGAGAAAGCAGACAGACAACCCTGGCAGGGCCCCCTCCCTGCCCTGTCCTACCCCACCCTGTAGCCTCTCCCCCAGGGGCCAGCACTGGGAGGCCCCAGCCGCAGGTAAAGGTCAGAGGGACCTCTCTGGCCTGAGCAATAGATGAAGCTCGTGTTCACAGGGCAAATGGATCACCAGCTCTGCCCTCTGGGATGATGCCTGGCTCCCGGGATGGGGACAGGCTGGCGATGGGATGGCGGGACTGCTATAAGGATCGTGTGTGTTCTTACAGTGCGCCAGCGCCCCCCACCCCGCCCTGTCTGAGGACCCCATCAGGAGAGGCGAGGGAGCCTTCTTGGGGCCCCCAGAGAGCCGGCAGTCTGGGTCTCAGGAAGCTGAGCTGCCACAGGGCAGAGGCTGATCTTGGCCAGCAGATGGCGCCCTTCCACCTGAATTCTGGGCAGTAGTGGACTGCGTTGTGTAACCCACACAGTGGCCCTGGGAAAGAAGTGGATCTGGGCTTTTTGTTTTGCTCCCTCCTCCTCCTCCTCTGTCTAAACAGTTACCCAGCTGCAAAGCTAATCTTTTTTTCTTCTTCTTCTTTCTTGTTCTCGCAATGTAAGCCCGGGCTGCCTCATCTTCCCGAGGGCTGAGATGACGGGTGTGCACCACCATACCTGCACCCTGTAGAACTCTCAGCTCTCCAGAAAGTTAACAGTCAATAGCTTACTGCCGACCAGAGGCCTTACTGCTGACATAAAACAGTTTTCACAGAGGGGCTGGGAAGGTGGCTCAGTGGTAGAGCGCTTGTCTTGCATGCCTGAGGCCCTGGATTCAACTCCTCAACACCACATAAGCAAAAAGAAAAAAGCCAGAAGTGGCGCAGTGGCTCAAGTGGTAAAGTGCTAGCCTTGAGCTGAAGAGCTGAGGGACAGCGCCCCTCAGGGCCTGGGAGCTGTCCCTGAGCCTCTCTTTGCTCAAGGCTAGTGCTCTACCACTTGAGCCACAGCACCACTTCTGGCTTTTGAGTGGTTCATTGGAGATAAGAGTCTCCTGGGGGCTTTTCTGCCCAGGCTGGCTTTGAACTGTGATCCTCAGATCTCAGCCTCCTAAGTAGCTAGAATTATAGGTGTGAGCCACTGGCATCTGGCTTTATGTACCTTAATTTTCTAGTCATGTGGTTCAGCTATATATTTTCCCCAGTGATCACAAATCTCCCACACCAAACCTGCAGAGAAACAGATGTGCACAGCTCCATCCTGTATCATGCAAGGACTGTGGTTTGGCAGGCATCACCCGTGAAAAGAAACCTTATACCTGAGCCAGGAGCTAGGATACACCTAGCGACTGGGGAAGTTAAGGCAGGGGGGTCACTTGAAGGACAGCCTGAGCCACAGAGCAAAGATTTAATCTAGAAAGAAAAGGAGGGAAGGAGAAAGGGAAACAGAGGAAGGGGAGAGGGCAGACCCGCTAGTCATGCGCATGCATTCCTGGTTAGTTCCCTCTCACGAGGCCTTAGTGCCATGAAAGCTCCAAGCTCCCCTCCATCTGTGGATCTGCTCTTCTGGACACCTCGCCATAGATGGAACCATAGAACAGGCTGGGCTTGTGTGGCTGTGCTTTAATATTGGAACAAATAGGACACCACATTCCCTTACACTGCCATTCAGTATTCCGCAGGGCAGGCACAGTTGGCGTTGACTTCACAACAGGCCCATCAGAAGTCCTTGGAGGTGGCTGCCAAGCCAAGGACACAGAGAGGAGCTGTAGAGGAGACACCTTTTCCAGCGTCCCCTCGCTGCCCCCCAGCAGGTGAGGGACAGGCCCTGAGCCTGCTGCTAGACCTGTGACCTGCAGGGACGGAGGGGATGGCAGTAGGGGAAGTGGCTTCTTGTGAGTCAGCTATTGTCACTGTCTCCAAACACTGACTTCTTTACCGTGGCCCAGGGTTTCACTGGCAAATGGAGAGGGCGGGGAGATGCTTCACCTCATGGTGGCCAGGAAGCAGAAAGAGGAAGGGACTGGGAGTATCTTTCAAAGCCCACACCAGTATCTCGGGGGCTTCCCGAAGTTCCCGCCACTTTTCAGAAGAGCGCCATGAGGCTAAGGACCAAGCTTTCGGCCTATGAGGGGAGGGGGGAGGAAGGAGGAAGGGAAGAGAGCATGTTTCATAGTCAAACCGTAACTAGGAGGAAGAGAAATGGACGGCACGGGAGGCGGCCCTGCGGGACGGTGGAGGGTCCTCACGGAGCCCGAGCCGCACAGCCAGGGCCAGAAGAGAAGGCAGGCTTCACTCATAAACCTTTTATTTCTTTACAACTTATCTGTTATCGCAGAATAAAATAAAAAGCAATCAAAAATTAAAACATTTTCTAAAAATAACATTTTCCATTTGGGGCTTACAGCTTTGTCCAAAAAAAAAAAAAAAAAGCCTGAACAGCAAATTTGTCAGAACAAATGCCACACTGGTCCCAGAAGCCCCCTGCCCCCACCCCCCACTCCCCACCCCGCAGTGAATTTCTTGCTCCTGAAAACCCATGGCAAAAAAAACTCCCAAGAAGCAAACGGCCGTTTCTCAAAACTTTGGCTAGTCCAGCTGCAGTCTCTAGAGCTTCACGTGGGCCTGTGCGGGGGGGGGGGGAGCAGGACCAGAGTAGCAGGGCAGGTCCCACTGGATGGCCCAGCCACAGCTGCCCTCTGACCCCACTTCTGCAACCTCCGGCTAGCACACATCCTAAGGAGTGGATGGTATTTTCTCTTGGAGAGGCTTCCAGAAGGTAGCTCTTCAGTAGTGATCAAGGCACACCTTGTTCATGGACATCTTTATTCTGTAAGGGACAGGAAGAATGTGGTGAGCCAGGCCAGCCCCAAAGAAGGAATCCAACCGAGAGCCGAGGCTCCCGTGGCCAAACCTCCAGCCACGGCCACGGAGGACTCAGCAAAGCCGACGTCCACCAGCAAGTGTCCTGCCACCCACAGGGAAGGACAGCAGCGTGCCCTGCCTGCTCCCACAGGGACCCCCCACCCCACCCCCACTTTCCAAAGGTAGCCACAGGCTGCTCTACCTCTCAATGGAATAGTGTTTCTCGCAAAGGTTGACCAGCACGTACAGGTGTCTCAAGGCGTATTCATACTGCAAGGAAACGAGCCCAGCATTACCATCGGCATATCATCAGCATACCATCTCACCACACAACTCATTCTTTTTGGCAGTACTGGGGTTGGAGCTCAGGGCTTTGCACTGACAAAGCCTGTGCTCTACACTTGAATCATGCCCCGGTCCTTTTTTTGCTTTTTGTGTTGCTTTGTTCATTAGCAACTCAATCTCAGACATCGATCCTCCTCTATTTATACCTCTCATATAGATGGGAATTTTGCTTCCTGCCTGGACTGATCTAGAACTATGATCCTCAAAATCTCTGCCTCCTGCCAATCAACCCTGAGCTCCAGAAAACACCACAGAAATGAAAAACGTCAGTCAGGAATTCCTTAACCTTTTGGGGGACCTCAGGCCCCTTCCTCCCTCCCTCCTTTTCTCCTTCCCCTCCCCTCCCTTCCTGCCTGCCTGCCTTCTGCTGCTACCGGGACTTGAACTCATGGCCTTGTGCTCACTTTAATTTTTCATTCATAGCTGGTACTCTACCACTTGAACCAGAACACAGTCCAGCATTTTGCTGATTAAATGTGAATAAGAATCTCACAGACTTTTCTGCCTGGGCTGGCCCGGAACAGCAATCCTCAGATCTCAGCCTCCTGAGTAGCTAGGATTACAGGCATGAGCCACTATGCCCAGCTCTCTTGATAATCTAGTGACAGTCATTTGAGTGTCTACCAAGAAAAATGCCTGCAGGCCAAGGTCTGCAATACAAGCAGACCACTGTGCTCTCCGCCCCAAGGAGGACACTTGACAGAGAATCCCAAGGGCCCTGCCCGGTCAGCGGGGACCTCCCCTAGGTCTGCCCTTAGGCTGCAGTGACCCCAGCTGGCCCCCAATGCTGAGGCACACTATGGAAGCAGCACGGAGAGCACATGATGAGCAGAGCATGGCTGGGTTCCAGGAAAACTCTATGCAGTAGCAGGCTGCGGGGAGACGCAGGCTGCAGGGGGAGACGCAGGCTGCGGGGAGATGCAGGCTGCGGGGAGACGCAGGCTGCAGGCAGCATTTGTCTGTAGGTTACAGTCTGCCAGCTTTCCTTCAGCATGACCCCACTGTGCTGATCACAGGCCTTTAGAAAATGCCAACTCCAGACACTGTATAATCTGCAGAAACCCCATTCTCTCGTCTCCTCCGTGGGCCGGGGAGGGGCCAGCAGGGAGAGCCCACGCGTGGCTGGGGTGAGGGCTGGGGCCTGGCAGGGGCAACAACAGCCTGAAGAGAAATAAACAACCCTGAAAGCGGATGGACTGACCGGAAGTGCTCAGGCGGGGGAGTGAACTCAGGCCCCCCACAAAGAGCCCAGGCCGGGATGGCCCTTTCGAGGGGCACGGGGTGGGATTCGCTTTGGGGGCTCACCGTGGACGAGTGCCAGTTGAAGCAGTGGGTGCGGAAGTGAGTGACCGCCTTCTGGTAGCACGCATGCTCCGTGAGCAGGGCTCTCTGGGTCAGAAGCCTCTGCACCGCAGCATCGGATTTTGCCAGCAAGGAGACGATTTTGTGCACAGACTTCTCGATGATGTGTCGGGCCTGGGGAGAAAGAGACAGAGAGGAACTCGATAGAAATGCGTCTTCAAAGCCAGGCCGTGACTGCTCACGCCTGTAATCCCAGCTACTCAAGGGACTGAGATCCAAGGATTGTGGTTCAAAGCCAGCCTGGGCAGAAAAGTTCTTGAGACTCCTATCTTCAATGAACCACACACACACACAAAAACCAGAAATGGAGCGGTGGTTCAAGAGGTAAAGAGCCAACCTTGAATCAAAAAGCTCAGGGATGGCATCCAGGCCCTGAGTTCAAGCCCTAGGACGGCACTAAAACATAAACAGAAAAACCTTGTCTTCATCTGGCCTCTAGTGAGTGGAGAGAGAAGCCAAGAAATGCAATCTGAGAAGGCACACTGCGTGGTGTGTGTATGGAACGTGTGTGGTATGTGGGTATGTGGTGTGTGTGTGTGGTACACGTGTGTGCGTGTGGCGTGTCTGCACGCGTGCAGTGTGCTGTGCCTGATCTAAGGAGGGAGTGGTGGAATGTGTCCCAGGGCAGACGGCGGTGGTGCGTGGCGCTGCCCTGCCGTCCGCCGGGGCCAGCGCACTGCCCTGGGTGCAGGCGCTCGCTAGATGGCCCAGAGGACACCGCTCTACACACCCGACCTCACCCGCCCCGCCTCGCTCTGCTTCTACCCTGTAGGGATCCCTGTAGGGCCCTCCTCTGTCCCCTGCAGACCAGCCTGTGGCGCGGGACATGGGGTCCCGAGGCCCTTCCCCACCCATCTGCGTGACGCTGGCTTCCTCCACCCCAGCAGCAGAGCTGGCAGTCAGGACAGAAGCAGGGGAAAGCAAGGCTGCTCTGCTCGCTGGGACGTGGCTTCTGGAGTAGGGTCGGGTCTGGCTGGCACCACATTGGCTACATGGTGGATGACATCCCAGCCCAGGGGTGGGCATTTGATAGGTTACTGAATCTGTCAGTCCAGTGCCTGGGACTGGGAATTTCCTGTGGATCTGACCCCTGCTTCAGACCCTATTCAGGCCGGGACCAGCCTAGCCGCCATTACTCCATACCACATGTGTCTCCTTGATCTTGTCCTGTGTTCTGTCTCCTGGCTCATTTCTAGTCATCATGGCATCCTAATTCAGTTCTCCATTGGAGCTGAATTGGATTGTTGGGATTGTTCTTTCCTCCCTCTCTAGCCTGTTTCCTAGCTGTGTTTTGTGTATTTGGGCGCTGCAGGCCTTTGTAACAGCGGGCGACCTGCAGCCTGCTAACTGTGTAATAAAGACTCCAGGGCTGGGAATGTGACTCAGAGGTAAAGTGCTTGCCTTGCATGCCTGAGGCCCTGGGTTCGATTCCTCAGCACCACATAAACAAAAAGAAAAAAGCTGGAAGTGGTGCTGTGGCTCAAGTGGTAGAGCACTAGCCTTGAGCTGAAGAGCTGAGGGACAGCGCCCAGGCCCAGAGTTCAGGCCCCACAACAGGACCCCCCAAAAAATAAATAAATAAAAATAAATTTTAAAAAGACTCCACTATTCCATATTCCAAAATGTGGCTTCTGGGATGATTCACTTTACAACACTTCCATACAAATTACAAGAACATAAAATGGGGTTATTGGGGGGGGGTGGTACTGTTATTTTGGTGAGGGGTTTCTACTACTGGGGCTTGGATTCAGAACCTGGGCACTTGTCCCTTAGCTTTGTCACCCAAGGCTAGTACTATACCACTTGAGCCATACATCTCTACTGCCAGCTCTCTGCTGGTTAACTGGAGATGAGACTCTCATTCTTTCCTACCTGAGTTGGCTTCTAACTCTGATCCTCACATCTCAGCCTTCTGAATAGTTAGGATTATAGGCATGAGCCACACTTGTACCCGGCTTTTTTTTTTAATTTACTGTTATTTTAGAGGTGATATACAAGGGGGTTACATTTACATATGTCAGGTAATAAATACCTTTCCTTTCGTACAGTGTCATCAGTTCCTTCACCTGAATTTTTTTGGTTTTGCTGGCCCTGGGGCTTGAACTCAAGGCCTGGGCACTGTCCCTGAGCCTCTTTGTGCTCAAGGCTAGCATTCACCACTTGAGCCACAGCGCCACTTCTGGCTTTTTCTGGGTGGTTTATTGGAGATAAAGAGTCTCATGGACTTTTCTGCCCAGGCTGGCTTCGAACCCCAATCCTCAGATCTCAGCTTCCTGAGTAGCGAGGATTACAGGATTTTTGTTGTTGTTGTTTCAAGATAAGATCTCACTATGTAGCCCAAGCTGGCCTCAAACTCGAGATCCTGCTTCAGTCTCTTCAGGACTGGGATTGTAGGTGTGCAATGCCACATACAACCAAAATGAGTTTCTTTTAGTTATTTCTGAATGAGTGATTTTAAATCTAGGATTTCCTTGTTAAAAGTAATTATTTTGCATAAAAATGTGGTGCAAAGGTCTCACTCTTTCCTGCCTGAGCTGGCTTCTAACCCTGATATCTCAGACGTGTGAATAGCTAGGATTGCAGGCATAAGCCATTGGCACCCAGCTTTGGGAAGCATTTTTTAATTTGTAGCAGACACTAAAGAAACCCTGTGTGAGGGGCTGGGAAGGTGGCTCAGTGGTAAGAGTGTTTGCCTTGCATGCATGATGCTCTCATGCACCACATAAACAGAAAAAGCCGAAGTGGCACTTTGGCTCAAATGGTAGAGTGCCTTGAGCTGAGGAGCTGAGGGACAGCGCCCAGGCCCAGAGTTCAAGCCCCACGACTGACACCCCCCCCTAAAAAAAAAAGAAAGAAAGAAAAAGAAACCCTGCATGAGTCATGCTGCTGTTAAAGCCAACCAAGAAAACCAGGGTTCCATGGCTATGAACTCTTGGAAGGTTAAGGACAAGATGTCTTTCTGTGCCATCTCAATGTTGCATGAAGTAATATCAGCAGACCCAACCCACCAAGAACAAAGCCCTCTGGGACCGAAAAAGCATGAGGACCGCGGTGTCGGACACCAGCTTGAAGCACGTCCTGGCAAACCAGGCAGTCACCCCTGAGGTGTGGCACTTGGGATAATGACAGATGCTCATTTGAAACCAACACGTGGAATGTGAAATCCCTCCTAGATAGTCCGGGCCGTCCTTACTCCAGTGCCCTGTGTCAGTGTCACTTATGAACCAGTGCTAATCCAGGGCCGTCCGGGATGGAAAGGACAGATGACCTCCTGCCACGCCAGTGTCTGCACAGATATGGTTTGAAACTAACTCTACAATTCTAAACCACCAAACAGGCTCGGTGGTCAGTAGGATTACCCGGGAACCTCAGCAGGGACTTCCAGCTGCGATCATCACTGTCTTAAGGTAGCAGAAGTGCTTTATGGATTGGATATGTGTGCACGCATGTGTGTGTGTGTGTGTGTGTGCGCGCGCGCATGCACGCGCACATGTGCTCTGAGAAGAGGGCTTGAACACAGAGCCTCATTCTCTCACTCAGCCCTTTCACTCACAGCTGGTGATCTACCACTGAATCTATGCCTCCACCTTCAGCTTTTTGCTGGTGAAAAAGAAGACACTCCCAGAGTTGTCTATCTGGACTGGCTTCAGACTGTGATCCTGAGCAGCTCGGATGATACTTGTGAGCCCCCAGAGTCTGGCTTGTGGACTGGATTCGTCAACAAACAGCAAATACAAATACTGTACAAGCAACCAGGTTGCAAAAGAGGGGATGGCACATGCCACGGCCACCTGGAAGGCCACAGGGGAGACGGCTCCCAGTCCTTACCTGACGGAGTCAAGGTCAGGTTTACTAAGAAAGGATGAGGATGAGCACTGCATTGCCCACTGGCGTCTACTCCACCCAGGGCAGCGGCTGGCACAGTGGCCGGGAAGAGCCTTCTACCACACTTACATCCAGATGCTGCTGGATCTGCTTGACCAGCCGCCGAGACTGCTCCCAATCGTTGGTGGCCATCAGCCTCCTCTTCATGATCGCCATGGGCACCTCGGGGCTTGGGGTGAGGTCCAGGCGTGTGACTGGAGGCAGAGAGATGGGGGAACTGGCTCTGTGCTTCACGCCCTGAAACTGCATCAGCTTCATGGAGGAGATGGACTGAGGAAAGAGAGAGAATGAATGAATGAATGAATGAATGCATAGTTCAGGTGTGGCCCAGCCCCTCTGCAGGAAGCTGAGGGGCGTGATACACTCAGAGCATGCACGCTTCTCCCACGTGGCTTCCTCTTATGCACCTAGCTTCAGTGGAGCTATGGTTCTCACCAGGAATGAGGTAGGTTCAGAGATATTCTGTCTCTTACCCAAAGTCTGCAAGTTTGAACCCAGTGGGGCCTGACGAGAGCCCCCAGGACCTCTGGACTGGCCGTGCGAGGCTGCGCCCCTTCTAAGCCTCAGCCATTCGCACACCTGGATCCCATTTTTCTGCACCAAGCCGTGCCCCAGGTGGGTGGAGGAACAGAAGCGTGCAGGGCCTCGCTCACCTTGTTCCCGTACTGCATGACGTGGCTGGTGTTGGTGTGGGACTTCACCAGCTGGTACTGCCTGTGGAGCGTCTCTTTGGTCAGGTCCTCCTGCAAGAAGGAACACACGGACATGTCCAGAGGCCGGGAGCCTGGAGAGCCCGGTGTGAGGCGGCCCCCGCCAAGGGCTCACCACGTCCGAGTCCTCCATCCAGTTGACGCTGTACCAGTCGCCCAGGTACGTGCCCCTCGCATCGTCGTAGTAGCAGGCATAGGACGACTCGTTGGGGTTGGCGGCGGTCGTCGCATAAACTACGAGGAATTAAAGGTGCCTTCGAGTTGTGCCTTGTCTCCCGGCCTGGAACTACATTTGGAGCTGGGCTCTTCCATCCCTGCTGTCCACCAGCCCTCAGGTTAGGGAAGCCAGCACAGTGGTTTCAGGTCTACAACCTTCACTTCTTTGGAGGCAGAGATCAGAGGATCCCAGTTCAAGGCTCCCCTACCTACCGTTGATGTCGTGAGGCAGGTGGTTCATCATGGAGCCAGACTCACAGGCTTCGATGTAGAACACCATCTGCGGGGCAGAGGAGTCACGTGAGCGCCTGCCCTGTCAGGCAAAGGCCCCTGAGGCTCTGCTGCCCCCTCTACCCATGCTTCTGGAGCCTTTCTACTCTGGCATTTGGGAGACCTTGCTGCTAGAAGAGGCTGCTGCCAGAGGCCACGGAAGCCATTTGACAAGGCGTGCCATGTATGGATCGCTAAGGGAATAAATGATTTAGCAGGTGACGTGAGGAAAGATGGAACTGTACAACACTTAGGAAGAGAACGAGTTTCACCAGCCACCGCTGCCGATCTTCCTTCCAAAGAGGAAAACCGCAGGGCACCCCATCTTTCTGCATCTCCACTTTGTCCCCCCCCAGGGCAGCCTCTCAAGGGTGCCAGACAGGGGAGAGTTCCAGAGTGCACACAATGATGCGTGTTCCCCTGAAACAGGACAGTCCTGGGAACAGCATGAAGGTGTGGCTCCCAGACCTGCAGCCGCTCCCGGGCTTCCCAGCCCAGCTCTCACCTGGGGCTGATTCACACTCCACACCTCCCAAGCTCTCTCTGAACTCCATCAAATGGCCAGTGCCCCTACATGGTTAATCAGAGCTGACCGGAGGATCCCTTTCTAGAAAACCCGTCCAGCCGGTCCGGGGCCAGGTACACACGCTGTGAGCTCTGCTGGCAGATTCCCCCCTCCCCCCCACCCAGGCCGACAATACCTTCTGGTACATTTTGTGTTTGTGCATATAATGAATGGTGTCGTTCAGGTCCTTGACGTGAAGCTGAAAAGGAGGGACATACAGTTGAGATCAACTCGCCAAAAGAAGCCACCTGCTGTGTCCCACCCACCTACACTTCATAAATTCCCTTTCACTTGTCCTTAGAGGCAAACTCAATTCATAGGACAGCCCAGCCAAAGCCCCGGGGTCTCCTCCACTCATTAGAAGGGGAGACAGCACGCTGGTCCATGCGTGTTCACACGCTCATTTCTACTGGGTCTACACCGACACATCTGGTCCCTGGACAGCTATGGCCCCACGACAGGAAATGAAGAACCAGAAGAGCCATCCTTGGATGGACTGTCCACTGGCATACCTGTCCCCAAGCCCAGTGCCACAACAAACCCAGCCTGGTGAGATGTTTGCATACACACACCACAGGCGTCATCTTTTCTACTTACTAAGAAAGCTACGAAAAAAACAAAATTGGGGGACATAATTGCAGTATTTGAAGATTTACCTAATATGTGTTACAGCCCACATTTAATCCCTGGCACAGAAAGCCCAAAGATCAACACGGTTAGAAAAAACTCACATCGTCGTTAGGAAAAACCAGTAATCCCGTGGCACCATGGTCAGTGAAGTAAACGAACACATGGTCCCGGGGCCCACTGCAGAGACAAAGGGTGGAGAATGAGAACGGAGGCAGGCAGCCTCTAGGTCTAGTTCCATTGCCTTTTTTTCTGAAGGGTTTCCTTTCTTTTTTCTTTTATTTATTTTTTGTCGGTCGTGGGGCCTGAACTCTGGGCCTGGGCGCTGTCCCTCAGCTCTTCAGCTCAAGGCTAGCGCTCTACCACTTGAGCCACAGCGCCACTTCTGGTTTTCTGGTGGTTAATTGGAAATAACTGGACTTTCCTGCCCAGCTGGCTTTGAAACGCGATCCTCAAGTCTCAGCCTCCTGAGTGGCTAGGATTACAGGCGTGAGCCACTGGCACCCAGCTCTGCAGGGTTTTCTTCACCCAAAAGTGAAGAGGATATGTGAGGATCACGGAGAAGGCTGGTGCAGCCCCTTCCTCTGGCTCCAAAGGTTACTCTGAACCACAACTCATCCCGAACCCCTCCAATCCGAAGGACAGCTGGAACGAAGGGGCCTTGGCAAGGTGGCCCCATCACCTGGCAGTCGGGGACCTGAGCACACGCTGGTGTGAGTGGGATCGTGGAGTCCCATGAGAGCCACCGTCTGCAACCAGATCGCCCCAGAGTCGGTGCCTGGCACCCCACGGCCTCCCGTAGGCCCCACCCTCCGATGCCCCTACCACCCCTCCCATGGATCCCTCAGAGAGCTCGCCTCCCTGGCCACAGTAAGTCACCAGAAGTCAGTGCACCCTGTGTGGCTCCACCTCGGCTCTGACTCCTGCAAGCTGCTTCCAGCCTAAAGGAGACAGGCTAAGAGATAAGCACAGACAAGCACCTGCCCACTGCCAGCGGGGGGAACACTGGGTGAGTGTTCTTCAACATGATCTTTAGCCTTCCTGGGAGGCTGACCTGGGATCAGGACACAGGCTGACATCAAGCTGGGAGCCCACAACCTGACTCACCCGTGGGAACTCACATCTGCCTCACTGTGCCCCCCAGGGTAGGGACACACCAGTGCCACAAGCCACAAATGACAAAAACAATGAGATGATAGTCACCAGGCACAGGTGGCTCACGCCCGCAATCCCAGCTCCTCAGGAGGCTGAGATCTGAAGATCGCCTGAAGCCAGCCAGAGCAGAAAAGTCCCTGTGAGACTCCTATCTCCAATAAACCACTCAAAAACAAAAACCAGAAGTGGCACTGTGGCTCAAGTGGTAGAGCACTAGCCTTGAGCACAAAGAGCTCAGGGACAGCGCCCAGGCCCAGCAAAAAAAAAAAAGAAAAGAAATGGTAAGGGACACCAGATCACAGGGCTAATTTGAAATGGGCTGTCAGGATTTACCATGGACACTTCCCCCTGTCCATCCTCTCCCGGGTGAGGACAGTCCCATGCTGTCACTTCTCAGGTGATCAGGAGCAAAGAATGACTTCGGTTTCCTGGGTTCTAGCTTACTGAGAGCACTCCATGTCCATAAAGTAGACGTTACCTCTGCAGGACTTTCCCAGATCCTCTGCCCTTCACGGCTTCTGCATCACCCCTCAGCACGGCAAGGAAGTTTTGGGGGGTTACATCCTATAAGAAACCCAGAAGTCAAAATCCGACGAGACTCTGCTTCCTCCCCAGGCTTCCTGCCACACACGTCCAAGCTTCGGAGCAAGCCCTGGGAGCCAGGGAGGACCCCGGGCAGGGTGGGGCTCCTGGATCCTGTGTGTAACCCCCAGACAATTCCCAGCTCTGAGATGACAACTCAGCAAGTCTGCCATTCCTTCCTGAGCACCATGAAGACACCCCAAGATACAGGCAGCTGGGGAACCCACAGGGGAAGAGGTAAAGCCCTCAGACCACAAAGAAGGAGGCAGACCAGGAGCTGTGGGCCACCCCGTACACACAGCTGCTGCCTCAGACGCTGAGTCCTGAGCACATTCGGTGTGCTTAAGAGGGGGTTTTATGAAATTTATCTTCCATCAATACAAGGGGCTGGGAATGTAGGTTAGTGGTAAAGTGCTTGCCTTGCATTCATGAAGCCCGGGTTCAATTCCTCAGTACCACATAAACACAAAAAGCCCGAAGTGGTGCTGTGGTTCAAGTGGTAGAGCACTAGCCTTGAGCAAAAAGCTCAGGGACAGTGCCCAGGTCTTGAGTTCAAGCCCCGGGGCTGGCAAAAATAAATAAATAAAAATACAACACAAGCTAGGTGCTGGTAGCTCCCACCTGTAATTTTAGCTATTCAGGAGACTGAGAACTGAGGACCACGGTTTGAAGCCAGCTCCAGCAGAAAAATCCATGACAAGCTAATCTCCAATTAACCAGCAAAAAGAGGGAAGTAGAGCTGAGGCTGAAGGGGTAGAGCAACAGCCTTGAAAGAAAAAGCCAGGTGAGAGAGAGCTCAAGGCCTTCGTACTAAAAAAGCAATGCCAAAAAAGGACAACAAAAAAAAAGCCTGGTGCCGGAGGCCACTCAGGAGGCTGAGATCGGAGGATCACAGTTCAAAGCCAGCCTGGGCAGGGAAGTCTGCAAGACTCTTATCTCCAATAAACCACCAGAAAACAGGAAGTGGTGCATGTGGCTCAAGTGGTAGAGCACTAGCCTTGAGCTCAAGAGTTGAGGGTCAGCGCCCAGGCTCAGAGTTCAAGCCCCACAACTGACATAAAAAAAAAAGGACAATGTAAAAACAACCATCCAAAATGGTACCATGTAAATTCCTGCCTCTTGCACAAGGCGCTGAATATAATACTACCACCAAAGACAGAGAGAAAGAGAGAGAGAAAGAGAGAGAGGAAGCAGACTTTTGCCAGGCACTAATGGCTCCTTCCTGTAATACTAGCTATTCAGGAAACTAAGACCTGGAAGATTCAAAGCCATCCTAGGGGTCTGGGAAGGTAGCTTAGTGGTAGAGTGCTTGCCTTGCATGCATGAAGCCCTGGGTTTGATTCCTCAGCACTACATAAGCAGAAAAAATGGCACTGTGGCTCAAGTGGTAGAGCACTAGTCCTGAGCTGAAGAGCTGAGGGACAGCGCCCAGGCCCAGAGTTCAGGCCCCACGACCGGCAAAAAAAAAAAAAAAAAAAAGCCATCCTAGGCAGAAAAGTTCATGAGAGCCGGGCGCTCGTGGCTCACGCCTGTAATCCTAGCTACTCAGGAGGCTGAGATCTGAGGATCTTGGTTCAAAGCCAGCCCAGGCAGGAGAGACCGTGAGACTCCTATCTCCAATAAACCACCAGAAAACCGGAAGTGGCGCTGTAGCTCAAGTGGTAGAGCGCTCGCCTTGAGCTGAAGAGCTGAGGGACAGCGCCCAGGCCCAGAGTTCAAGCCCCACGACCGACAAAAAAAAAAAAAAAAAAAAAAGTTCATGAGACTCAATCTCCAATTAACTAGAAAACAATTGGGATAGAGATATGGTTCAAGTGGTAGAGCACCAACTATAAGCCAAAAAGCCTGGTATTTATTTTTTTTAAAAGGAAGCAGTTATATTACATAGATGACATATTCAACTTAATTATATTTAAATTTTTTAATATGAAGTAAAACAAAGTAATAATAAATTTTGGATGAAAGTTTATCACAAAGACAATGATCCTAAGATTAAGAGATCTTGAGTATAAAGACATTGTGGTGTTGTTAAATACTTGTCAGTCTCCATCAACTGGTAAGAAAATAAGAAGTCTTAGAAGTTCAGGAAAACCCTGAACTATTTCACACCCGGACTGGGGCTGAGAAAACTGGTTAACCACAATACCTCAAAAGAAGAGAGAGAGAGAGAAAAATTTAAAAAAAGAGAGAGCTAGCCGGGCACTAGTGGCTCACGCCTGTAATCCTAGTTACTCAGGAGGCTGAGGTCTGAGGATCACAGTTCAAAGCCAGCCTGCAGAAAATTCTGTGAGACTTTTTTTTTTTTTTTGCCAGTCCTGGGGCTTGAACTCAGGGCCTGAGCACTGTTCCTGAGCTTCTTTTGCTCAAATCTAGCACTCTACCACTTTAGCCACAGCACCATTTACGGTTTTTTCTGTGTTTGTGGGTACTGAGGAATCAAACTCAGGGCTTGATGCATTCTAAGCAAGCACTCTACCACTAAGCCACAGTCCCAGCCCTCTGTGAGATTCTTATCTCCAATTGACCACCAGAAAACTGGAAGTGGCACTGTGGCTCAAGTGGTAGAGCACTGGCCTTGAATGGAAGAGCTCAGGGACAGCACCGAGGCCCTGAGTTGAAGCCCCACAAATGACCCTCCCCCCCTTCCAAAAAAAAAAGAAATCAGATTGTCATGGAAGGAACTGTATTACCTGGCTTAATAAAGTATGCCAAGGCTTGAAACTAAAATTCAATAAGTTCAATGTATTATGAGCAGTTTCTCTTTTTAACTTCTCTTTTCTTTCAAACCTCTTATAATTCATCCGGGGGGTAATGGGTACTAATAGCCCTCCAATGCTTGAGCCCAGGAATTTGAAACCAGTTTGGGCTATACAGGGAGACACTGCTTTTAAAAAAAAATAATAGGGCTATGGGCTGGGAATGTGGCTTAGTGGTAGAGTGTTTGCCTAGCATTCCTGAAGCCCTGGGTTCAATTTCTTAGTACCATATAAACAGAAAAAGCCAGAAATGTTGCTGTGGCACAAGTGGTAGAGCACCAGCATAGAGGCTCAGGGACACTGCACAGGCCCTGAGTTCAAGCCCCCGAAACCAGCCAAAAAAAAAATAGGGTTGGGGATGTAGCTCTGTAGTACATTGCTTACCTAGAATAGGAGAGGCCCTGGGTTCTATCCCTAGCTTGTCCCCCCTCACAAAATACTAATTCACTCCACAACCAAAAATCCAAATCCAAACATCAAACACTAGGTAGACACCACTGGCTCATGCCTGTAATCCTAGCTACTCAGGCAGTAGAGATTGGAGGATCCTAGTTCAAAGCCAGCCCAGGCAGAAAAATCCAAAAGATTTCTTTTTTTTTTTCTTGTTCCTGGGGCCTGAACTCTGGGCCTGAACGCTGTCCCTCAGCTCTTCAGCTCAAGGCTAGTGCTCTATCACTTGAGCCACAGTGCCACTTCTGGCTTTTTCTGCTTATGTGGTGCTGAGGAATCGAACCCAGGGCCTCATGCATGCAAGGCAAGCGCTCTACCACTGAGCCACCTTCCCAGACCCAAAAGATTTTTATCTCCAATTAACCACCCAAAAAGCCTAAAGTCGAGGTATATGGCTAAGTAGCAGAGCCTCAGTCTTGAACAAAAAAAGCTAAGGGACAGTCAGTGTCTAGGCCAGGAGTGCAAGCCCAGTACAAATAAACATGAGACACTGACCAACAATCAGAGTAGCAAGGTTCTGAGTCTACAAGTAGGAGAGAGGGGGAAATGACCAATGGAATGGACACGAAGGTGGGGCGGGCGGGCGCTCACCTCTCCCGTGTAGTCCTTCAGCACGCCCTTGTACACGTCCGTGCCATTGGGCCTGTTGATCACGACGCCCGGGGTCGGGTTGCTGAGAATGAAAAGACACAGCTTGGGTGCAGGGCTCCCCAGTGTCTCTTCCACACACGCCCCGCGGAGGAGGGACAAACCAAACAGCCGTGTGGAGGACTCCTCTGACCGCCTACTCCGGCACCCCCTTTTTGAGTACCGTTGGTTTTGGGGAGGCAGGAAGGACAAGGACACGCTGAACAGGATGGCTGTGCTGTGTTTACACACAGCTGCCAGTGACACAGGCCTGACCTCTCCCCGTGCAAGCTCAGATGCCCGCTGCGCATGGCGGGTGGCGGGGGGGGGGATAGCTTTTTGGCAATGTTTGGTCAAAACCACATGGGGTAAATCCATGAATCGTGGGCTCCGGGCAAAGACAAAAGGACCGGGGCATGACTCAAGTACTTGCTGTGGATCAAGTGGGAGAGTGCTACTACCCTTGAGCAGAAAAAGCTAAGGGCCATCACCCAGGTGCTGAGTTCAAGCCCCAATATTAGCATGTGTGTGTGTGTGTGCGCACACACAAATAGCCAGTACTGGAAAGGGGGGAAATACTTGCTTAGGAAACAAGTGACAGCACTAAAGCTGTAGGACTAATTCTGGGAGAACGCAGATTTGATCTCAGGACTTGCTCCCTCCCAGAACCTCAGCAGAGACGTGGGGATCAGGGGATAGAACGGTTAAACTTAGTGCTGTGCTGAGAGGTCAAGGGAACCTTTGCACACTAAAATGCACAAGCCAAAAAGCAACTGAGGGGCCGGGTGCCAGTGGCTCATACCTGTAATCCCAGCTCCTCAGAGGGAACTGTGATCTGGGGATCACAGTTCAAAGCCCAGCCTGGCCAGGAAACCCTGTGTGACATTCTTCTCTCGCAAGTAACCACCAGAAAACTGGAGGTGGCGCTGTGACTCAACGTGATAGAGCACTAGCCTTGAGCAAAAGAGCTCAGGACAGCGCCCAGGCACTGAGTTCAAGCCCCATATCTGACTTTAAAAACAAACAAACAAACTTGAAGATGGCATTAGGAGATTACTGCACACAAACAAGCCTCTGCTGGGCCCAGGCCCTGTGCCCCTGGCCAAGCCTGGTGGCACCTCCCCCGCATCTCCTATGCCATGAAACCTCCCATCCCCAAGACATAGCGATCAACACGAGGGCCGCCTTCTCCCAACATCAGCCATCTACAGTCCCTGGAGTCCGGATGCCGAGATGGTTTCCAACCCCACAGCAAGCTCACGGAGCGCGCCCCACTTACTCTTCCGAGTTGGCAATGTCGTCATACATCATCACAATGATCTGCTCATCCGGAATCCCATTTCGGTGGATGATCTGATAGGCGTGGCATGCATCAGCCTGGAAGGAACCACAGAGCAGTGTTAAGCTTCGGGGTTCTGTCTCCTGTGACTCACTCCCTATTGGTCAAGTTTTTGAACTGTGTGTGTGTGTGTGTGTGTGTGTGTGTGTGTGTGTGTGTGTACCAGGACTGGTGCTTAAACTTAGCTTTTTTCACTTAAGGCTGGTGCTCTACCACGTGAACCACAGCTTACTTCTGCCTTTTGGCTGGGTGCCAAAAGATAAGAATCTTACAGACTTTCCTGCCTAGGCTTTGAACTGCAATTGTCATTATTGCAGTCTACTGAGTAGCTAGTATTACAGGTGTGAGCCACTGGCACCTGGCTCATGTTTCTTTAACCTCCATCTTAAAAGATCTTCACCCAACCCTGTTACCCAAGGGGAAGTGGGTGTCTATGTGGGCTACTTACTACCACACCCACAGGTGCCTGGCCCTTGGAAAGCGCTAAGTGACTTGTTCCCTTGTTTCAGACCACACACAAATCGAAAGCACGGGGGCAGGCCTCAAAACCAATCACTCAGAATGACACTCAGCAGCTAGGCAGGCCGGTCCGTACCCCACGGCCCTTCCTGAGCAGAGAACCTCAGCCTCGGCCACAGACACTATTGAAAACTCTGAGGCAAGGGTCCAATTCAGGAGCTGGAATGGAAAATGTTCTGTTTTTTGGGGTTTTTTTGTGCCAGTCCTAGGGCTTGAACTCAAGGTCTGGGCACTGTCCCTAAGCTTTGTGTTCAAGACTGATATTCTACCACTTGAGCTCTACTTCCAACTTTTGGGTGGTTAATTAAAGATATGACTCATGGACTTTTCTTCCTGGGCTGGCTTTGAACTAGGGTCCTCAGATCTCAGCCTTCGGAGTATATAGGATTACAAGTGTGAGCCGCCAGCCCTCTGTATGAAATGTAACTTTCCTGAAAAAAATAAAAAGATAATCTCCAGACCTAAGTTCAAAGCTGAATACTACTAAGAACTAAAGACATAAATAACAATTTAAAACACACACAAGTGGGGGGACATAAACACACACAGTTCCTGGCCCACAGAAAAGAGAAACACTGCTTTCCTGTTTGAGATGACACTGGCTGCCTTTCACATCATGGAAATCATTTGAGGACAGAAGGGAAAAAACATTGCCTAACTTTCTGCCTACATAGAGTCCATTGTCCTTCCTGGGACAAAAGCTTGAAGAGGTGTGGAGGGAAGGGAGAATCCCCTCCCTGCCAGAAAGACAGCCTGGACCAGAGCTTTCTAGAAACACTAAGGCGAAAGAATAAAACCTTTTCTTTGTATAAGCTAATGATCCCAGGTACTTTGTACTAGAGACAGAAGCTCATGAGTCAGAAAGAGCTCAAGTTCATGGATCAGGAGATTGAAAACTATAAAAGTGATCATGAAAGAAACGATGAACAGGCTTGTTTTGGAAAATTAAGAGGATCCAAACATGTACACGGAATTGCAAAACCATCTTGAGAAAGAACAAAGGTGGGACCCTTTCACCCTGACTTCACAATGACCCCGGGAAAAGGCTGGCCTCTCACTGAAGGCCAGGAAAGGTCAGGGATGGATCGAGTCATATGGGACAAGTTAGATCATCAGAAAGTTGGAGGCTGACTCTCCTCCCATGCCCTACACAAAAACTACCTCAGAATGGACCAGGGACTTAAAGGCGCCAATAAAATGTGCACAGGACAACAAAGGAGAGTATTTGGGCATCTAGAACTATAAACTTCAAAGATGGCATAGATATGACAAGAAAAGCTTGTCCTTTAGAAGAAGCTCATCAAAAATGTAAAATTTAGGAGGAGCTCATCAAAAGTAAAATTCGCTGGGCACCCCTGGCTCACCCCTGTACTCCTAGCTACTCAGGAGGCTGAGATCTGAGGACCACAGTTTAAAGCCAGTCCAATAGGAACATCCGTGAGACTCTTATCTCTAATTAACCACCAGAAAACCAGAAGTTGTGCTGTGGCTCAAGTAGTAGAGGGCTGGCCTTGAGCTGAAGAGCTGAGGGACAGCACCCAGGCCCAGAGTTCAAGACCCATGATGAACCAAAAAAAAAAGTAAAATTCTAGAGCATCCAAAGATACTACTGAGGGGCTGGGAAGGTGACTTAGTGGTAGAATGCTTGTCTGGCATGTATGAAGCTCTGGGTTTGATTCCTCAGTATCACATAAACAGAAAAAGCCAGAAGTAGCACTGAGGCTCAAATGGTAGAGCATTAACCTTGAGCACAGAGAGGCTCAGGGACAATGCCTAGGCCCTGAGTTCAAGCCCCAGGACCCAGGACTGGGGGGGGGGGGGGGGGCGGAGACAGTATCAACTGGTGGTATAGCTTACAGTGGCAGAGCTCTCTCCTGGCAAGTGCAAGGGCCTGGGTTTGACCCCCCACCTCCCAGTACCAGAGAAGACAATGGGACTCCATGGAGTGAATGAAAAGACAAGCAATGGGTGAGTGGGGCAGATCTGCAGAGCACACATCTGGCAGAGGACTCGTACCCAGACACGCGTTAAGTCTTGCAACTCAGCAAGACTTCATCAACTGAATCGAAGATTTGAATAAGCATTTCTCCTAAGACAGGCGTGGCTAGAAGCACATGAAAAAGATGCTCAATGCCATTACTCATTAAGGAAATGCAAATTCAAACCACAATGAGATTGGCTTCCCAACCAGACAGAATCCGAGAACCAGGACCTCGTCCATTGCTGTGCAAATGTCAAATGGTGCGGACTTGGAGAAACTATTTAATAGCTTCTTTAAAATGGGAAGGGGGGAGGGGAAAAGGGGGGGGAGGCTTGGAAGGGATGGGAAAGAGAAACAAAGGAGGAGGCTACAATGCTTGATAAGAAATGTACTCATTATCTTGCCCATGTAATTGTAACCCCTCTGTACAGTTTTTTCACAATAAAAAAATAAATTTTAAAAAAATGGGAAGAGGACTGAACTTAGGGCCTCATGTTTGCTGGGTCTTTAGCTTGCCTTTTAGTCTATTACTCAGTGAAGCTTTCTCATGAACTTTCCTGTCTAGGCCAACCACAGTCCAAGATCCCCCTGCCTCTGTCTCCCAAGTAGCTGGGATTACAGGTGTGCACCCCCACACCCAGCCCTAAACTGACAGATGTTTAAGGGGAGCTAGTGCGGTGTTGTTCTCCTGCTCCATAATCCACATTGCCAGAGGCTTGTGCCCATCTTACAGGGGGTGTGAGCTCAGGATGGTGAGGGTTCGAGCCCAGGCCTTCCGCCCCTCGCTCTACACCCAGAATGCTCCAAAAGAGGCTGTGGCTCTTCTCTCTCCAGCCCCAGACACTGGGGCGCCTTTACCTATGTGAAGCTGAAGGCGTTCTGTGCTGATTCAACTATGCGTTGAAAGTAGAGCTTGACCAGCTCCGACAGTTGGGAAATTATGTCAGAGAGCCTCCCATCGGTCCTGCCTGCATTTCCTCCTGGAAATCAGCAGAGCCCTGTGAGGTAAGGCTACAGGATTGAGCAAGACCTCATGCGAGGGCTGGGCAGTGGTGAGCAGCGCTGGCTCTGCCCTGGCTGCAGTGAGTCGTCCGGCAGTCTCTCCGGGGCATCTCCAGCCCCCACAGACGCCCACCCCAGCAGCTGGGAGCGCCGGGAGCTAATTGGCTGGGAGCAAAAGCTCCTTACATCTGGCATGCTCCAGTCCAGGGAAGGGAAGCTTCACAGCCCCTCCCCTCCTGACGGACGTGCGGTGTGCCCAGCCGCTGGGCTGTCAGGCGCTGGGGCTCTGCAGCACATCCCTGCACCCTCCGCCGCTGCTGGCTCCACAGAGACGATGATGTCATCAACCTACAAAAGTGAACCGATGGTGCCATCTGTTCACTCTAAGCCCGCAGGTGAAGTGCAGAGCAGCAGTGACACGTGGGGTGGTACAAGCCCATAGTCTGGTCCTTCTGGGATCCCACGCCGCCTCAGGCAGGTGTGGGAACAGCCCAGCAGCACCCCTGCAGCCTGTCACCCACAAAGCCACAGGATTTACTGTGTGTGTGTGTTTGGTCCTGGGATTTGAACTGTGTGTGTGTGTGTGTGTGTGTGTGTGTGTGTGTGTGTTTGGTCCTTGGATTTGAACTCTGGGCCTGGGCACTGTCTCGCAGCTCTTCAGTTCAACACTAGCACTCTACCACTTAAACCACAGTGCCACTTCCAGTTTTCTAATGGTTTATTGGAGATAAGAGTCTCGAGGACTTTCCTGCCCAAACTGGCTTTGAACCTTGATCCTCAGATCTCAGCCTCCTGGATAGCTAGGATTATAGATGTAAGAACCAGTGCCCAGCTGACTCTTAACTTCTTCCTTTAAGGCTGGTGCTGTACCACCTCTAGTTTTTTGGTGGTTAATTAGAGATAACAGTCTCATGGTCTTTCCTGTCCAGACTGGCTTTGAACTGTGATGCTCAGAGATCAGCCTCTTGGACTACAGTCAAGAGCACCAACTGCCTCTTATGGCCCTTGAAAGAAGTTTGCCTCATCCCATCTTGAGGCAAGCAGCAGCAGTGAGGCGGCCCAACTTCTCTATGGGATTCTGAGTGGCTACCTTCCCTCAAAGCGAAGGAAGGGGGCGCTGTTAACTGGCCGTCAGCTCCCAGCCTGACCATGAAGGCCTCCCTGACTCCAGCTTTCCAGCCAACTTCTCCCCACCTCCCTTCTGCATCCCCAGCTATCTGGACCACGTGCTGTCCTCATCTACCCCGGGACAGGCTTCTTCCTTTCTAGCAGGATCAGGAGATTCCCTGAGTCAGAAATCCCTATTCTCTCAACAGGAACTGGTTTGAACATGACCATGTGATGGAATTTTTGCCAGCCACACTAGAGGCCAAGTCCCCCTCCTCCATTTGCTCCCAGCAAAAAGGTTTGGGGTCTGATTAAAAGAGGCAGGAAGATAACATACACAGATGGCCTCTTTTCCTCTACAAGGTTTTTGGGTTAGGGGGGTTTGGTTTTTTTTTTTGTCGGTCATAGGGCTTGAATTCTGGGCTTGGGCACTGTCCCTGCGCTCTTCAGCTCAAGGCGAGCGCTCTACTGCTTGAGCCACAGCGCCACTTCCGGTTTTCTGGTGGTTTATTGCAGATAAGAGTCTCACGGACTTTTCTGCCTGGGCTGGCTTTGAACCATGATCCTCAGATCTCAGCCTCCTAAGTAGCTAGGATTACAGGTGTGAGCCACCGGCACCAGGCTTAGATTTCTTAACAGTAAAGAAAGGAAATTTGAGAGCAAAACCTGATAAAGTCATGCTCAGAAGCCTGTGTCCTCGGACCAGAGCAGACGTGAACACACTGTGGAGCCAAACTGCCAGGGCTCAAATCCAGGCTCCCTCCCTTAACAGCTGTGTGACTTTAAAGAAGCTACCTAGCCTCTCTGTGGCTCAGTTTAGCCATTCTAAAATGGGTCTGCAGCTGGGGCCATTCTCTGAGGATCAAGTGAGAAAATAAGCAAGCGCTCACGAGCAGCGTTCTTTACCAGACAGCACCTTGCGTGAGCAGCGTTCTTTACCAGACAGCGCCTTGCGTGAGCCGCAATCCCAGCCTCAGACTCAGGCACACCCCAGGGCGGCCAGGGGCCACGGCGGGACGTGCGGCTCCAGGCTCATTCTGGAAGGAGCCCCCCTCCCCCATCCTCCCAGCGCCAGTGTCCTCTTCCCAGCCCTGGTCCAGCTCGGCTGCACCTGCTCCACAGGCTCCCATTCTCCAGGATGGAGACTGGCCTCCCCCCTCCCACCACGCCCTAGCCCGGGGCTTACAGAGATGCCCTCCAGACTCAGCTCAGGGCACTTAATGCAGAAGACACTGCTACTTGGCCAGGGAGCCGAATGGAAAAGAGTGAGCCAAGTCCATGGAGACAGAAAAAACACTAGAGGCTGTGGGAATGGAGCCGCACTGATGCAGCCCGGCAAACGGAAACCAATGAATACACAGTTGAAACATTGATGGGGGGGAGGGGGGAGAGCTTAGGAAGTCTCCAGAGTCAAAGCACATGCTGCTGGCTGGCTGGGGACAGAGCCAGGTCAGCAGGGACGCGGCACACAGCTCATCTATCCCCACAGTCACAAGGCCACCGCGCTCACCGTCACAGCCACGGTGCCATGGTCCTCCCATACTGGGGACAAAGGTAGGTTGTCAGTGGCCAGTGCCGCACTCATTTCCTTTCTCTCTGCACATTTCACCGCTTGCCTGGATAAACTAGTAGGTTTCTTGCTCTCGCAGCTGGTGCTCTTCCACTTGAGCCAGGCCTCCAGTCTGGCTTTTTACTAGTTAATTGGAGATATAGTCTTGGGGGGCTTTCCTACCCAAGCTGGTTTCAAACCATGATCCTCTGGATCTCAGTCTTCCTGAGTAGCGAGGATTTATCTACTGGCTAAGGGACAATTAGGTAATAATAATAATAATAATGCTTAACTGACGTATCTTTTAAGTTGGTTGGGTTTTGTGTGTTTTAATTGTTATTATAAAGGTGATGGACAGAGGGGCTGCAGTTACGTAAAGTCAGGTAAAGAGTACATTTCTTTTTGGACAATGTCATTCCTCTACTCGCTGTCTTCATTTCTCTCTCCCATTCCCAGCTACAAGTTCATTTTCCACAGTGTCTGGCGAGTACCACTGCAGCATTTGGTCACCCTTTGTCCCTCCACTTCTGTGTCCCCCTCACCCACCCAAAGACAAGTAAACAAACAAGCTGAAAAGAAAACAAAAACAGCAACAAAGAAAAAAACCTCTTGCTTCCATTTCCTGGAGTTTGGTTTGATAAGTACTATTTTATACAATCAGATGCACGCAGCATTGCTTCTTTGGGATCCTCCCCTAAGGGTGTCCTCCTCTGGTGTCACTGTGTGTGATGTCTAGAGTCCTCTCTCATTTACCATGTCCCCTTATACTTTAGATCTAGCTTCCGCGTGAGAGAAAATGTGCACTGTTTGTGTCTCTGAGATTGGTTAAATTGGTTGTTTAAAAGCCAACCTGGAGCTGGGAAGGTGGCTCAGTGGTAGAGTGCTTGCCTAGCATGCATGAAGCCCTGGGTTCCATTCCTCAGTACCACAGAAACAGAAAAAGCCAGAAGGGGCGCTGTGGCTCAGGTGGTAGAGTGCTAGCCTTGAGCAAAAGAAGCTCAGGGACAGTGCCCAGGCCCTGAATTGAAGCCTTAAGACTGGCAAAAAAAAAAAAAAAAAAAAGCCAACCTGATGAGTCAGTGGGTTCATGACCTGTGACCTGTCTTTATCTTTCTCCCTGGAGGTTGCTCCTCACCCTGTGGGGCAGGTCTGTGGTTAAACATTAAATTTTAAAAAGGATTGCTTTGCCTTAATAACTTTTTACTCAAGTCAGATTTCCTGTTTGGCTAGCACTCCAAAACCACACAAGAAATGAGGTATAAGCAGAGAAATCAACCTCACAGGAAAGCAGATGGAGGGCGGGGGTGGGGAAGGGGGGGAGGGAGGGAGGTGTCCCCGTCCTGCCCCAGGGCGGCCAGGAACACAAGCTGGCACCCGCACTGTCCAACATGGCAGCCACTAGCCCCTTGTGGCACATGAGCCCTTCGAATGTGGCCATGCAAACGGACACCCCGGAATCCAGTGACTCATCAGGAGCCGTGAACATAAGGCCTCTGATTATTAAGTTGATACTGATGATGTGTTGAAATCCTAACTGTTTGGGCATCCCAGTTTAAATGAGATCTTCCAGTTTATTTCACCTTATTTAAATGTTTTAAAAACATAAAAACACAGCTACCAGGTACCAGTGGCTCACGCCTGTAATGCTAGCTACTCAAGAAGCTGAGATCTGAGGATCAAGACTCAAAGCCAGAGCTGGGAATGGGTCTTAGTAGTAGGGTGCTTGCCTAGCATGCATGTAACACTGGGTTCGATTCCTCGGTACCATATACACAGAAAAAGCCAGAAGTGGCACTCTGGCTCAAGTGGTAGAGTGCTAGCCTTGAGCAAAAGAAGCTCAGAGACAGTGCCCAGGCCCTGAGTTCAAGCCCCAGGACTAGCAAAATAAATTAACGACTTTACTGAGATATATAATTCCAGAACATTCTGACTATCCCAGAGCATTCCCTATCCTGGCCCATTCTTGGCCACTTTTGAAGACATACATATATTAGCAGCACTGGGCTTCGAACTCAGGGCCCATGATTACCAGTCAGGTGCCCTTCCCCTTGACCATACACTCTCAGCCCCAGCAACCTTTTTATCTCTATAGATTTCCCCAATTGGAACTTTCATTGCAATGGAATCATAAAATAAGTGATCTCTGGGACTGCCTTCTTAGCATTAAGGCGCATTCATATTAAAGCAAGCATAATATTTTGATGGCTGAGTAATATTCCGTGGCTTTTCATGGGTTTCTCCACCCATTGGTTGATGGGCATTTGAGTGGCTCTGGTCTCTTGCTATTAGGACTAAAGCTGATAGGAACAATCATGAACAGGGCATATAACTCAGAGAAGAATCGCTGGGTCACAGGGCGAGTTCACAATTCACCTCTTGAGAAAGTGCCAGAGAACTTCCAGAGTGGCTGCACCAGTGCACATTTCCCTAGGTGGCATCCATCCTACCAGCCTGGACATGCTGTGTCACCTGCAATGGCCACCTCCTCTATCCAGGTCTCAGTCTCGGACCTTCTCTACAAACCAACGACACTGGGTCTCAACCCAGCTGGGTTTGCTGTCGGAGACCTCTGGCCGTGTCAAGGTGTTTTAGGGTGTCACTGGGGAATAAATGGGCAACGCTGATATCATATCCAATAGAGGCCAGAGACGCCGCTAAACATCTAACAATGCACAGCACAGGCCAGCAACAAAAAAAAATGACCTACATCTAACCAGCACCGGGAGGAGAGAATGCCCACGTTAGATGCAGGCGCTGCTGAGAACCTGCCACTGTCCCCACAGTGACACTTGCCAATATGCCACGTGATCATTTACCAAGTTACGACACGCACAGCATAGCAGCAGTGAGTGAGCACTCCCGTTTCTCTGCCCCTTGCCCAACCCGCAGCACTCTGCCAGCCCCACAGGTGTGCAGAAGGCTTTTCTAGCACATGCCTGTAATCTCAGCCATCAGGAGGCAGAGACAGAAAAAAATCTCTGCATCCTTCTAGGATAGCCGAGACCCCATCTCAAATCAAGCCAAGTCTTTTCTACTAGGAATAGTTCCAACTGGTCCGTTTCTTCCTTGCCTGCATCGTTAGCAGAAGAGTCTCATTCTTACCTGGTGCCGGTAATTATACCAGCCATTGGAGCCCGCCACAATCACCACCCAGTGCTTGCCGCCGTCCTCGGGGTCGTCCACGCCCACAGGAATGGCACCTGCGCCCAGGACCAGGCTGAGAAGCAGCACTGCTGTGCTCCACGCCATTCTGTGCCTCTGAAGTCCAACTGCAAAAGTCAGAGAAGGGAAGTGTACAGCCACGTAAAAAGGACTGATAAGTACAAAGAACCTTAAGAAGGGAAAAACCCGTGGCTCAAGCCTGTAATCCTTCTATTCAGGAGGCTGAGATCAGAGGATCAAGATTGGAAGCCAGCTGGGGCCGGAAAGTCTGTGAGAGGCTCATCTCCAATGAATCACCAAAAAAAAGTCTATCCTGGTTGACCATTAGCTCAGTCTTTGTCCTTGGAGGAGTTGTGGAGAATTGTTCTCACTTTATTACTAGAACAGAACAAAAACAAGGTGGGTTCCTGAATTTGGGCTGTTGGCTTTAAGATAAGACATTGCTTGTTTGAGGGACCACCTGCCTTAAGTCTGGTCATTCCAGGAACCTAAGGGGAGTGCAAAGGGACTGTGGCAGAGAACAGCTCAGATACAAAGTTGGGGAACTTATGAATTCACAGGACTCAGCAAAAGCATTTTTTAAGTTGTACCTGACATCTTTTGGTGGTTTTGATTGGGGGGATGGGGGGTGGGGGGAGGGAGTTGTTGCTTTTTTTGTGTTTTATGTTCGACAGGGGCCCAACTATGTAGCCCAGACTGGCCTGGAACTCCTGATCTTCCCACCTGTCTCCTGAGTACTGGGATTACAGGCAGGACCACCATGCCCAGTCTGAATTCACATTTCTTATTTAGTGTTTTTATTGTTATTATAAAGGAAGTGTACCAAGGGGTGACATCTCTTTTTGGGCAATGTCACCCCTTCTCTCACTCTCTCCCAGCCCCACCCACGAGTTGTATATTCATTTTCAACAGAGTGGCCAGTACCATTGCTGCATTTGTTCACCCTTTGTCCCTCCATTTCTGTGCCCCCTGACCTTCCCAAAGATAAATAAGCAACCAAAGAAGACAAAAAGAAAACCAATACAGCAACAAAGGAAACAAAAACTTCTCATTTCCTGGAGAATTCACAGTTCTTTAGCCCCAGGGCAAGTTCCATGGATGGGTAACTGCCATAAAAGGCCCTCAGATTTGCTTTCTATGGTTGTTCTAGGTAAGAAAGTAGACTTCACCAGACACAAGTGAAGATGAGGTCAAAGATGGTCTCACACCAGGCAGGTTCCTCTCTAAGACTAACTACAGAAGGGCCATGTAGAGGAATGTGTGAAGAAACAATCCAGAGTCCAGGCCACAGAGAACAAGAAACAAAACATGGAGGTCCCCAGAGCACCCCACGGGAGTATGGCACAGCTCTCCCCCAACTCAGAGCTCACCCATTCTTTTAGCTTTTGGTCAGTCATGGGGCTTGACGCCTGGGCGCTGTCCCTCAGCTCTTCAGCTCAAGGCTAGCACTCTACCACTTGAGCCACAGCACCACTTATGGTTTTCTGGTGGTTTATTGGAGAACAGAGTCTCATGGACTTTTTCCTGCCAGAGCTGGCTTTGAACTAAGAACCTCAGATCTCAGCCTCCTGAGTGGCTAGGATTACAGGCATGAGCCACTAGCGCCCGGCTACAGCTCACACATCTGAGGCACTGCATTCCATTACTGCCAGTAACCAGCTCGGCTAGGAGCAGCTGGCCTAGGTCAGCAGCTTTCTGATCAGCTATTATATTCTTCATGACCAAGTCAAAGCACCAATGACATCATGAGTAATCCTGCAGCATCCCACGACTCTCTCATTTGTAATCACAGGGAAAAGCTAAAGAGGAAGAGGTTCGGGCTGGGAAGGTGGCTCAGTGGTAGAGCGCTTGCCTTGCATGCCTGAGGCCCTAGGTTCGATTCCTCAGCACCACATAAGCAAAAAGAAAAAAGCCGAAATTGGCGCTGTGGCTCAAGTGGTAGAGTGCTAGCCTTGAGCTGAAGAGCTGAGGGACAGCGTCTAGGCCCAGAGTTCAGGCCCCATGACCGGACCCCCCCCAAAAAAAAAAGAAAAAAGAGGAAGAGGTTCGAGGCCCTAGCTCACCTGGCCCCCACAACTGCCTTCAACCGAGCCACAATCCATGAGCCCAATCCCAACACCCCCCAGCTCGTATCCATCCTCCCAACATCCACCCCACAGTGTGGCTCAGACACATGGCTGTCAGCCACAAGATGAAAATGAGAGACTGAGCAGATATTCCAGAGGGAAGGGACAGGCCAGGTTGTCAGATGGGAATGACAGACAAGGAGAAAGGTGGGGCAGAGACAAGGAAGATTACAACCAAAGGGGAAGGATTCCTTTTCAATAAAGACTGTAAGATGTGAAAACAAGTCTATTTGTAACAGCAAACTCACAACAAGTGGCCGTTGCCTAGCCAAATCAGCCATGAGATGCTTTTGACAGGACGCTGGGAAATCTTTAAACAGAATGAAAAGCAAGCTGGACACTATAGCTCACACCTGTAATCCCAGCTACTCAGGAGTTTGAGATCTGAAAATCAGAACCATCACTGGCAGACAAATCAAAGAGACTCATCTCCAGTTAACCAGCAAAAAAAGGTAGAAGTGGAGGTGTAGCTCAAGTAGTAGAGCACCAGCCTGGAGTGAAAAAAGCTAAGCTAAAGTAGGATGCCCTGAGTTCAAGTCCCAGGGGCTGGGAAGGTGGCTCAGTGGTAAAGCGCTTGCCTTGCATGCATGAGGCCCTGGGTTCGATTCCTCAGCACCACATAAGCAAAAAAAAAAGCCAGAAGTGGCGCTGTGGCTCAAGTGGTAGAGCGCTAGTCTTGAGCTGAAAAGCTGAGGGACAGCGCCCAGGCCCAGAGTTCAGGCCCACGACCGGACCCAAAATAAAACAA